CGAATACGAGTTCGAGGGGGGTGTCAGATTTACGTCTAGTATTCGACCCTTTACGGCTTTATTGGTTCACCCAGAAGCCTCTTGTACGGCGATATTCCTCTACGAGGTCTACAAGTAAATACCGCCTTCATACGTCTATTCTGGCGCTAGGTATCCCATTGGTACTTTTAGCGCTTACGCATTCGTGTGGCTCCGCGTTCATCGCATAGGGCCACGTTCATTGCTTACGTAGCCGTCCCGCATTACCGTGGGACTTGGACTGCATAGTAGTTACGAATACGGTAGTGACTTCACACGCTCCTGTCATATATATACAGTCGCTACCATGAATATCATCTAAGTCTTCTCTCTACCTCGAACGACTACCATCGTCAGCTACCAGCCTAACACGCTACTAACTCAACCTTCAACATAACTGCCCGGTGAGTCTGCGCTTTTATAGACTTCCCAGCTATACTCGCGTTCGTCCTTTGTCAACCAGCACGTTTGCATACTCAAACGCCGACTTTACCAACAGAACTCACACAAAGGCTAGCAAACACGCTCGAGGATCTTCGGACCGAGCGCCGACGGCGCGAGCAGGTCGAAAGTTTGCTAGAACAAGTGAACAAAGAGCGTCAAAAGCCATTCCTTGTGCCAGCTCTGCTTGAAGCTTTCGAAGAGATATCAGGCTGGACAAGCAATGATTTTGAGATGAAGGCTGTCGAATGAATGAACACCTTTGCGCCGATCTATTGGGATTTTGGAGAGCAACTTGGCAGTACATTACTCAAAACTTGATTTCTGTTTTCATTTCTGGAAACGCAACACATAATAGCGGAATGTTGTAGATGTTTGAGCGAGAGTAGCTGCAGAATGAAGTCATGCTAGAGGACCGGGGGCGTACTATTTGGGTTCACGATAGCTGAGGCCTGAGGAGCGGTGAACAAGCCGTCTCGAATTAAATAGGATGACAAGCGCAATACATGGGGATGCTTGGAGACAACGGTATCGATCAGGTATGTAAAGGTGGGCAACACGAAGGCCAGCACGGAACTTAGTCCACAGTGACACCTTTCGCGCGAAGGTCGTTCTTTGCTTCGGAAATTTGCTGGGAGAACGATGTGTGTTAGTGCGGAGCTGCGACAGAAAGTCGTAAAGAGAGAGATCGCGTACCTGAATAAGTTCAGTGTATGCCTCAGGGCAGTCTCTAAATGTCCAAAGGCCCCAACCCATGCTCCACAGCGAGTACGCCCCAAAGCTGACAAGCGCCCACCAGGGGACCTGAGCGAGAGCGTGGGGTATGCCAGCAGAGCCGCAACAGTGTATAGACGGAAACGATGGTTGGTGCACGAGTAGAGCATTCGCAGGGGGTGGTATAGCGAGCGAGGATGGCATGCACGCGAGATGAGGAGTATCACAGTGAGTTGGGATTCGGATAGAGATGGATTGGCGACCTTACCGCTGGCAGTATCTCTTGAAGTGTTTCCGAGTCGACAAGAGGGATTGGAAGGTACGAGAACAGAGCAGCGATGTAGGTGACGGCGAATATAGCGATAAAAAGTAGAATACGGTGTGCACGAGCCATGCTTGGAGTATAAGAGAGAGTCTGAGTGCCTTTAGAGGTATTCAATAAACGAGATGTTGCCAAGGTCGGAGAGAGGCGGCTTACGTGGGATGAGGAACGGTTCGAGAATGGTGGCCGTCGTCGCGAACAGCGGCGAGGAGGTACGTGTATCCACGTGACTTGTGATGGCACGCCGGAACACGGCCCGATCTTTGCCGCAGACACGGTTCCGCGTCGCACGTTGCGTTGCGCGTCACCGTCACCGTCAACTGTCCCTGGGTCCACAAGCTCAAGTCTGAGAATGCCGACGCTTTGACCGCCGACAGTGACTCGCATCTGACATATTAAACGTTCGTCCCCCGTGGTACTCGCCCAATATCACTGTGGCTGAAACGCTGGCGCCGACTCAGAAGGTGCTTTTCAACATGCATACCATCGTCCGATATGCGCCCACCAAAGCGATGCGAATCAAGTCGCTGGAGATTCCTGAGGTAATCTCATTGGCAAAGGTGGACCTGAAGACCCTCAACCTACCACTTCCAAAAGACAAGTTCATCAAGTGCGTTGACAATTGCCTGCATCTGGCTTGGTTCCATAGGGTGAGGCAAGGCTGGGTTCATTCCTTCGAAGCTTTTGGGCATCGTAAATATTTCCAGGTTTACGCTAATCAATTTGCACGTTGTTTGTCGCAGCGTCAAAACCAGATTGTCGGCATGAAACAGTGCTTTGAGAAGTTTGTCAGGGAGGAAGATTTCCTCGCGGATCAGCTGAAGGCCAGAGCGGAAGTGTGCGTTTAATTCTGAACCATTTTTATTGAGCAAAGTTAGGATTGAATGTGTGATCAAAGACAATGCATTGCAGTTGAAGCCATGTACGCTTCGCGTTCGTCCTGATTTGCATGTTGCGATGCACCGCTGACAATACGATCACTGTCAGATGCGCTGACGCGAAGTCAGACCTTGAGCTTCGTTCACTGTTTGACAACATATCTGGGCAAATTTTGGATCCGCCAGCCTCCGTCTCGCGTCTGCTGTCACTTTATGGTCACTGTGACGACGCGTCCCAAGCTAATCGGCCCCCTAGCCAAAGTCAGCTCCCCAAATCTCTCACTCGAGATGCAACGATCGCCCTTGAACCAGGAGAAGTGGTCGAAATGCACGCCAACTCCGAGCCCCCGCACTGCAAGCGTGTATATACCTGATTTTAATGTACTCGGTAGTTGATTTGCTAGAGTCACGTACCTTTGACCTGAATTTGAAGTCATGTACCCGGACCTGGTATATCAAGCCATGTACCTGGATCTGAAATGCGAAACCATGTTCACAGTGACGTCATGTGGCGTCGGTGTTTGGGGAGGGCTCCACCCCTAACAAATAAATGCAAATGTTGAACTTGGTCCTTTCGCGTTGTCTTTTCTTCCTCTGTGACACCTGTCGACCTCTGCTATCTCATCCTTCCCCTTCCTGTCCACCTCCTTTGCACCTCACGGCACCTGCTCTCGCGTTCTATGACAGCCACTGGAACAGGCTGCTTGGCCTATTAAGTACGTCCTCCTACACTATGTTGCCTTTTCGTCGTTCAACATTCACATTCCACCAGCGGACACGACACTACTACTATGGCCCGTCTACAAATCCTAGCTTCAACAACTGTCCCCGTCTTTACCTTCTCCGACGTTAGGCCATTCCTCCTTCCAGTATCCTTACAACTCAACACCAACGTCATGCGTAGAGAGGTCAATCCTCGTGGGTAGGTGATCAAGGCTCTCTCGCCAAGCGCGACATAGTTCACGTAGGTCGACCCGATGGGCCGTTCAAACAAGGCGCTGATTCCTCCGTAGGATGACCAACGCCGTCTTCGGTGTGGGCAAGCTCACGATTGGATATGACGGCACACTGCGGTCCTTGCGGCGTGCATCAAGGTGCTCGACATTCTCATGGACAACGCGCCCATGCCCTCCGCTGTTGGCATCCCTTCGCTGCGGTACAAGTGCTCACTTTGCGACCAGCATCGGCGTACGTCGCACCTTTATATTTAGTGCAGATCGCCCTGCACGCGCGTTTGCAGACATGCTCCGTCTGAATGAGAGCCAGATGGACCATGTGCCCGCGGTATACTCGGGTGGGCTCGCGTGAGTGTACTGCAACAACGCTTACATTCTGAGAAACTTTAGCGCACTTGTGCCGCTCCCGTGTATGAGTGCGCTTGCGAAACGCCTCGAGTTCCCACCCGGAGCTCCCGATAGCGACAGTGGTGCGAGGCTAGGAGAGAGCAGACATATATCGTGTTTGGTATGTTTTCGTTATTTATTGCTGTTTCGTTTACTTACTGTCATTGTCACCTAGTTATTATCTACTTTGATCTGTTCCCGCAATTTAGCTGCGCGAAAGGAGCTTCGACTTGCAGCTTCCCTCGCCGCGGCGCTCAAGAACACCGCATGCTTTGCCACGCATTTGATGCAAATAACTCGGGTGATGAGTCGGATTGATGACGGCTTCCGTACCTCTGCGCCGGCTGCTACGAAGAGCCTCAGGTGGTGGGCGGTTCAGGGGGTTTGATTATGGTTTGTATTGAATAGACTAGTCATTCCCTGTGTAGATATAAATGAATATCATCGCGTTTGCAGTGAAGTCTGCATACTTTATTTTGTGATTATCATCACGTTTTGCCATTAAAATTACTAGCTACGCATTTGATCCTGCCTCGTTTCCTCGAAAATCATGTCAAAAGGACATGAGAAAGTACATTGAATCCTGCAAAAACGTTAGTTGTTCGATCTTGGGCTTATACATGATTATCATAAAATATCTACATTATTACTATGTTCCGAAGACATGAATAATACATGAGAACTACTAACGTAAGGGCATCCTTTACGCACATGAGTTTCAGGTATCTCCGCCCTCACAGTGCCCTGAGCCAGGAGAGGTGGTTGAATCGCGTTCTTCATCTGCGCTTGACATCGACACGGAAACTACTAATGAGCCTGATTGCACTTCAACTCCACATCCCAAAGCTGAAGGAGGACCAATCCGTCGTGGTATGGAGGTGGATGACGCGTCTCTTTCCTCTCCAAAGCAGTTTGAGCTCCTTCTGTCTATTTGGAATGCGGAAGGAGACCCCACGGGGGATGCCTCTATCCCCGTTTCGACTTCTTCGGATGATACTCAGACGAAAGCCACTTCTCTCCAGGGAGAGCTTACACCACGTCCTGAGGACAAGGAGACTGTCGATAGACTTTCTCGCGAGTTTTTCGAAGCACAAGACGAGATGCGTGCTCTTAGGAGCCAAACACGGCATCTCGCACGCAAGTTGGAGCTTCTTGGTGCTCGCGGCATTCTATTTAAAGATGAAAAGCAGAGAGCAAATTTTAGGTCCCCTCTTCTTCGTGTCCTCCGTATTAATCAACCTATTGCGAATGACAGCGGACCAGATGATCTCAATCATGTATGATGCCTTACGAGCCGAACGACGCCGGAGGATCAGAGCTGAGCAAGCACTCGTGGACGTTTTCTCTGTGCCTGCGCGGTTGAGACGCTCACCTAGAGCTGATTCTTGTGCGAATCAAAACACTCAGGGTAACATTAACCACATTCGCCATCCTTGAACATTCATGTAGATTTAGCTTATATTGACCTAACTTTCCACGTAGACTTATAATCACCCCAGAATAATTCAGTAACGCATGTACTTTCCATAGTAACCGCCCTCCTAACAGTCTTCATAATTTATCGGTCCGTATAGGTCCATGTGTACAGGTATGAAGCGCCTTCCTACGCATTCCATTATGAGTTAATTGAAATACCGTACATGGATAGTAAGTAATGCACAACGTGCTTTACGAGCCGTAGTCCGACTCATAATAATTATCCATCAGATCGACACTAAAATGAACCAATAATGATAATCACTGAGCACGAAGTTTTCTCTACTTAACTTTGTCGACATATGAATAGATCGATCACAAATTCATGATAAACATGATGGGCGACATAACACTGCAATGTATGGCAGCCTCCTCTCATGCCTCCGGTTTCTGTATGCGAGAAAGTTAAAGTACTATTCCACAGTATCCGGGGTGGATTGGCAAGTTCAGCTCGTTCTTTGACATGGCTGTTGCGCAAAAGGCGTCGTTTTAGTTTAATATATTCTACAAGAGCTGTAAGTCGACTGCATAAACACTTTTCACAAGGCTCGTGAATTTGTGCAGAACACAATGATTCGTAAGGGAGTCTCTCATCGAAATGAATTTATTCCCTTTCAACCTTAACTAGACCCATCATTTCAGCAAACACGACCGTCCAAAAGTTTATGCTCCATTCTATGGACGTTATTTCGTATCGATCTGAGTGATCCCAAGTTGAAAGCCACGCCCGCGCAGCCTGGACGCTGGTCTCATCGTTGCAGAGGTGTGAGTACATATTTGAAGTGACGGTCGGTTCACCCTGATTACACGTGCGAAGCGATGGCACAACGTGGTGCAGCACCTTTGCAAGTGGCTCGATGTCATGGAGGCGCTCCGAGGCATGCGTGATATCTAACCAGGTGATGACTGAATTATGCGGGAGCTGTGTGACTGTTGTTGAACCGGCGAACTTGGATTCGGAGATGGACTCGGCCGCTACATCAACCTGGCGTGGGTCCACGCGAACTGCGATATTGAGATAGGCGAGACGCGGGCAGGACTCGAGGACAGCGAACAGGCCCGCAAGTGATGCTGGGCGTTGCAGTGTTTTGAGCTGCAGTCGTTCAAGGCGCGGCCAACACGAGACAAGCACAGTGAGCGCTTCATCCGAGTTTTCGTCCCTGTCTGAGTCTTCGTTGTCCGCAACGTCCTCAAGCATAATAGGATGGTGATGGAAATCAATCATGAGCTCTGTTAACATCGAGAATGCGCGGAGCGGAGAGAGGGCATCCTTGGTGAGGTAGCCGTGGGGTGGGATAATGCTTGACCTGTTAGACTCGGAGAGCGTGATGCTGGTCAGGTAAGCATGTGACACGCATTCCGCGAGGGACGTAAATATCAAGGACGGGGGCCGCGGCGAAGGCTTCACGACGTTTGGTCTGGTAGATGGCACGAACTGGACAGTGTGCAGACGAGCAACTGGACTTGCTGAAAGGAAAGAGGGAGATACCGTGCTATTCTCATCTAGAAGCAGTGCTTTAAGTGCTCGGGAAAAAGTATCGATGCCATCGACGTTTAGAGACAGGCGACTAATCTCGCGTACGCCATATTGCCCCGAGAGCCACGGTGCTGCTGTACTGACTGGTACGGAGAGGTGGCCTAGGGACGGCGGCGATGCCTTTGTGAGATGGGTCAAAATGTCCTGGTTCAGTGCGCCACAGTCGACGGTGCGTAGGTGCTCCCATTGACAAAGTGTCTTTGTCAGCAATTCTAGCTCTCCATCATCCGGCAACCGCGGATTGGTGTTATGCAAGCAAGAAAACGATTCGACGAGTGGGCAAAACTTGGTGAGTAGCGGTGCATCGGAGAAGAAGCTATTTGGAAACATGGACGTTACACGAATTGCGCGCAGACTGGAAGAAAGCAGAAGGTCACTGGTCATGAGCAAGCGGTATTTTGAATTGTACATCGTGGAACCTTGTACATGGAGGGTGTGCAGCTTTGGGAAGAGGTTGGATAACGGACAGGCTGAGAGAGCGCGATAGACACAAGCGTCGATTGCGTGAATTTCTTCATCTGAATCTCTTGCATCAAGGGTAACTGTCTTGACTCGACGCGAGAATGAAAGTAGGATTTCCCATTCTTCCAACGTCATTCCGCGAGAAAAAGTCTACACGTAAAGCCATGTCATTTGTCAGCCCATATACCGCACCTCAGCCGTGGGAACATGACAAGATCGTATTAGTGGACGCACCAGAATTCGAGTAGACCGGGTCGGCTGGTGAACGAAATGCCACAATTCGTGCGGAAGGCACCTGAGAAGGTCTGAGAGAGTTAAGATGTTGGCGTAGAGAGCATCAAGCGCAGGCTCTTTGAACATATGGCACACCCTTGCGAGACTCGATAAGGCACTTCGATCGTCGACTTGGTGGAAGATGGCCTCAACGAGCTCTTGGATGAGCAACAAAGGGTGCATGGCCAAGGCTGGACGCCTTGAATTCGGCTGGTGTTCGTGGTGAAGGGAATCGTGGAAAGTGGAGGGAGGCTGGAGGGAGCACTTGATGGGACACCGTCAAGTCAGTGAAGTGAGCTTCAATTGCTGTGCATTACACAACCGGTAATCTGGAGCTGTCCCGGCCACGCTATCTTTGGCTAGGATCCGCCGCCACCGTCCCATCGCCCAGGTTCAATATCAATGACAACGTTATCAACAGTTTTTCCAGAGTTTGGGGGAGTTCATCGGTAGCACGAAGTAAAGAAAACCAGGTTCATCAGGGGAAATGACATGAGGTCTAGTGGAAATTTGTTGCCTTTGCCAAATATCGGCGCCTCGAGCCACCACCCAAACCCTTTGTTGGTCCATATGTGTGTATGTTGTGATCTCCAAACACGTGATGATGGAGCGGCCAAAATAGGCTAAACCACTCGACGCGGTCTCCACACCATCGCGTCCACGTTGTGTCCACCCCTGCCTGACTTCAGGATCAATGCCACGAAAGTACGTTGCAAAGTTTATTGAGGCAGTAAAATGGCCGGAGCGCTATCGTCTTCCACCAATGGGTTAGTGACAGTCCATGACGATGTTAAGAAGTTTCTTCGCTGAAGCGTCGGGTGGCTCTTCAGAAGACGGTGGATCTGACTGTGGAGACGAGGATGACGACGAAGATGAAGGCGAGGGTGATGACAAAGATGAAGATGACGATGACGACGAAGATGGAGATGAGGATGAGGATGAAAACGAGGGCGATGACGAAGATGAGGGTGACGACGAAGATGAAGACAATGTCGATGATCTGAGGTGCACTGTGGTCCGCCTAAAGCACGACTGGACATGTCCTGAGTGTGGGAAAGGTGCTGAGAGGTGCTTGTGTCCGTACGCGATGAAAGCCTGCAGGTGCAAGGGTGGGCAACTAATGCCATGGGATGATGCATGTGGACACTGTGAAAAGAATAAGTATTCCTTGGAGGAAGAGGATGATGAGGAAGAGGAGGGAGAGGAGGAGGGAGGGCATGACGACTACACCTTCCAAGAAGAGGAGGGATGCTACTGCGGGTTATTTGAAGAGTGTATTGAAGGCTGCGACCGCGGAGAAGACGAAACTTGCGACTGTTGGCGGTACCACAATTGTGTTTGCTCTGATTCGGAGGACGAAGACTGGCGTTGCTCAGATGCCGAGGACTCGCATAGTGCAACGGACGAATCAGAAGAGGACGAAGAGGCTGGTAAGCGGAACCGTATCCTTCCTGTTGTGGCCCTTGACTCTCCACCAGACGAAGGCACCGACGTAGGATCTCATGCTTCCGACGATACACAGCTCTGCGAGGTCTCTTCTCAAAGCCGCGATATTGTTGTGCAGGCCCTCCCTCCGCCGCTGGCTATGCATTGTGCATCAGACGACTCGTCTTCTTGCTCGTCAGGAGATGAAGACATGGATACCGACCGGGCTTCTTCCAACCATTCCCCTCCTCCCCCTTCCGAACACTCCCAGTTGGACATCGTTCTTAGTGACTCCGAAGAAGCTGACAATGTAGAAGAATTGACTGGGCACCTACAACCGGACGACGGCAACATCGCTTCTATGCCGGCGTTCCCAGTACCCCCGTTGGTCTCTCCTCTCTCCCACAGAGGGACACAGACATCGCCCCAATCTCAGCAGCCCGCGCATACAGTCAAAATTCTCCGAGACGCTTCAGCACAGACGCTCCATTCTCCTGCTAGTAACGTTGCTCAGATCTCCGATGAACAAGCGAGGATTGAGGAACTTACTCGAGAGCTAAGGGAGTCAGGAGAAGAAATACAGCGGGTTCAAGCCCGCTCTCGGAACATCTCGCGAGAGCTGGAGCGCCTGCGTGCGCGAAATCATAGCATAGGCTCGCGCTCGGCTGACCCTGGCGATGATCCAGGTTGGGGCAACATGGACGCCATGGAGGAAGGTGAGTGAAGTTCTGCTTATGTCTTTATGACGAACTTGAACCATTCGAACCGTGCGGTTGATGGCATTGGTTAGAGCTCAACAACAGAATAGCGAATCTCTTCGAGACCCTTCGGGCGGAACGTCGGAGGCGAGTGCGCGCAGAGACTATGCTTGGAGAAATCTCTAGATCCAATCAAACGCAGCCGCCTCTTCCGGCACTGTTGAGGAGGCGGCACTGGCTCCAATGAATATGGAACATCCACTACGTTTTACGGCGAATCGCTCAAGTCGCGAGTAGATGGCTTATTCGTGGCTAGTCGCGGCTGATCGGACCGGGTCGAGGCTTCTAACCAGACGCGTCGTTATTTGGTTCGAGTAACACGGCTACCACGTTACATTCGAATGTCATACTACACTCAATTAGACTGCCTCGCTTCTTGTTAACTACCGTCGACTACTTGTTAAAAAGTCGCTCTTTCTATTCGAATACCGCGTGCAATCACACGACTCGACTAGGGCCGACTACCCTGGGTAAGTGATATTGAGCAAGTCCCCTATTCGAGGCTATATGTGGCGGGACCGACCGGACAGGACACTGCAGGATTCCCGAAGCAGAACGTCGTAAGACCGATTCAGTCCCTCGCCCTCTCCTGCTTCTTTTTTGCTAAGTGTCTCGCTCCACCGCTCTCTCGCACCTTCATACTAGCTTGACCTCTTGACCTCTCGCACCCTCATCCTCTCGCACTCTTGTCCTCTCGCACACTCGTTCTCTTGCACTCTTGCACCCTCTTGCACCCTCTTGCACCCTCGTTCTCTTTGCCTCTCGTGCCCTCGTCCTCCTGCATCCTCTTGCATACATGGTACAACCGTACACAGGCCGCCCAGGACACATCCGTTGACGCAAGGGTAATTAGAAGCCATCAAATCGATGGAATGCTGGTCGAACAAGCTGGCCAGCCCACTGCGTCCAAACTTTGGGGCAGCCTTATAATGGCGAGTCCCACGTCCGTCTCGCTGCCATCGCCTCTTTCTTCTCCCTGCCTCAACTCTCACACAATCCGCTCGAGCCATGCCCCTCCATAGTACATTCATCCAGGGTAACAGCATTATGCTGAACATGGCAGACGATTCGCGATCTCCCGTTGGTGCACATAACGGCGACTTCATCTTTCAGCATCGCCTGTTCATGGGGTCGTACTGGGGCAACTTGGTAGGGGATATGCCTTTGTATGAGTGGCGCTGACCTTTTCTCCCAGCACATTATTGTGAAGCAATATAAAACAGAGGCCGAGATCGAGCTCGAGCACGCCGCTCTCACGCAGAGGGCATACCAGGGCGAGTCCATTGCGAGGTGAGCTTTGACCTTATCATTTTAGTATAGGTTGACGCATACAGCTAGCCCGTTCCGCTACAGGTTCGCTGTCGCAGAGCACCTCACGTATATGCTACCGGAGCCAGCAAACGTTAGCTTGCTTCGTCAAGCATATCCCAACCGACTCTTCTGCGTCAAGCCTCGGGTCATCGACACCCCCGATCGAGTCTCCATCCCACTGGTGCCTCGGGTCCGCAACACCATCCCCAACGCGCCTTGTGCGTCCACGCCAGTCGTCGACCACAACGAGGTGGATATCGACGAGATGGCCACCTCGGTGTTACATACCGAGCCTACTTTGGTCGATGACAGCAACGACGACGATGACGTCGAATACGTCCGCTCAAGCAGTCCCGATCTCCCTCCTCTCGCCGTACTTATCGATCGCATCATGCGCGAGAGGAGGGAGCAGAACACGATTGTCATCAATGACTCGGATGATGATTCCGAGCCCAACGTGCGCCCTTCCAAGAGACCCAGAGGATCGACCTCTGACGACATCAAAGACGATCAGGCTATTGTGGACGCGCGTCAGTTCGATGTCTTGTATGTTTTCTAATGTTTTTTTCTTTGGAAACCACAGTCTTATGTTTTTTGTTAGCGCATTGGCGAGACCTCGTCACCTATCTCTCCCGGCCCCCAACCAGCTTGCTCTTGCCGCTCAGAACATCTTGCGTACCGAATTCGGACGCGATCTCGAGCCTATTCCGGAGACTTCCGAGGCTGACATGAATGAAGTCTGATTAATTAAGCGAACATTCTTATTTTATTCTTGTAACTGGAGGTCATACAACATGTACTTGCATTCAGAATCGTATCCAAAAGTTAACTGTTCCTCCCTTTGACGTCCACGCTAGCGAACCTACTTCATTTGAACGTCAAACTATCGGCAAGTAGTCTCTATTATACACTGTCAAATACATTCTACTAGCCACGAATAGACAAGATAATAACCTAGCTATATCAGCTATTTGAGGCTGTAAATGGCGGTACTCTTGCCCGAATTTCTCTAAGTGCATTGCCAGTCCCATCTAGATATCGATCTCATTTCCTCAGCGACTCACCCTGACATGCCACCTTAATCCAACATCGAGGTCAGTTTCCCCCCTCATCTCGTTCCTCACCAACACCCCTTGTCACCTCATTTTCTTGTACCTCACTATGCCTAAGGTGAGTTCTTCATAATGTACTCATGATCTAAACATCTACATTGTTATAAAGCAACCTACAACATCTCCCCTCCTCTTCTTCTGCGATTGCACGCATACATGCTGTTTAGTCAATCCCATTCGTGGTGGCACAGATGTCCCGTTTTCGACACGAGAAGATCACCGCCGCCGACAGAGGACTGCCGGGTCAGCACTGAGCCAGCGAGGCCGTGGAGCAGGGGCAGTACGGGGCACTTTCGGAGGGTCCACGCGTACGGTTACGTCCTCGAGAGGCCAAGGGCGAGGCCGAGGCCGAACCTCTCGAGGACGCGGTGCTCCATCGGCAATGCTCGAGGCACTGCGGCCACATCTAGGGAGCTCGACAATATCCGCGCCCACGAACACGCAGCCGGGTGCGCCGTTGTTGTTGCCACGAGATAACGACAGCACAAGTTGTCGTTTGTCAAGGTGCGTCTAATCCTGCCATGCATACATGTCCTTGTACCTAATGATCACTCCCGGGTTTGATGCCTGCATGTACAGTACACTGCGCATGTCAAGTGACAGCATGGACATCGATGCTACTGAAGACTTTGCCATGGAGACTCAGACGGACGACTCCATAGCTCCCCCTTCCGCCGAAGCGCAGCCATCGGTCATTCCCCCTGCTCCTCGTTCGCTCTATACCGGCCCAACGACATCTCAAACCAACATCCAGCATCCAAGCGTCAGTCATCCCAGTATCCACGTTCACGATGCAGACGCCAACACTCCCATCTACCATGCCGACGACCACGTACAGCTCCCAGAGGTGCTGGCCACTCCCGGCGCTCAGTCTCTGTTGCCGGGTTCGTCATCAGGCCCAGCTTTGCGTTCAACTCGATCTGCGCGCAAGCGGCGACCAGCACGTGTTCGGGCGGCTCCCATTGACTATGAAGAGGATGCACCAGATGACCCTCTTCCACTTCCCAGGACCGCTCAGCCTCGTACTGCAGAGGACCCGCTGGGTCTTTACGACGATTCTGACGGTGGCGAAGACGTTCACCACAATCTACTACTACACACTCAGACCGAGAACGATGACAGCAGCTCTCGGCCTATACCCGCCAACACCCTATCTGACAACAACATTCTAGTCGAGCTTCCCACTCCGGCTGAATACCCCATGTCGGCAGACCCAAATACCACGTATATGGCTGCCCACGACAGCTGGCTTGTTCGCCTCGTCATCCTTCTTGTGGCATTCCTACATGCGGCTCATCACGTCTCCTTCCGTGCTTGCAGGATTATTCTGCAGTGCAGCCGTGCTATATTACTTGCCATGGACGCTTATGACCCGACTCCGAGGCCAGGAAGACCCACTTTCCCCGTTACGCTTGGCACTGTCATTGTCCGTCTCGACCTTGAAGATCATTTCAAGATTTTGCCTACATGTAGCAACTGTCAACGGCTGTTTCCATCGTCGGCTCCCATTAGCACGAAATGCCCTGATTGTCAGGAGCCTATCTACAAGCCGGTGTCGAATTCCATATTTCGCCGGGTAACCGGCTGTGCGGCCAAACCGCCGCCACCTGTCTCAGCCTCCCCGTTCCAGCTTCCATCTTCGCTTCTAGCCGACTTTCTCGCGCGGCCAGGGATGGAGAAGCAATGCGAGATATGGAAGACTTGCCAACGAACGCCAGGTGTGCTCCATGACATTACTGATGGACGCGTGTGGAACGAAGCAGAAGGCCCAGACCAGAAGCCCTTCTTTCCTCTGAATGGCGAGGAAGGCAGCGAGTTACGCATAGGAATCACGGTCAGCTTGGACTGGTGTGTGCATTTGCAGCTGTGTCATCTAACCATAGCGCTAACTACGTATTAGGTTCTGTCGAGAGACATCTGTATATGGGTCTAGTCACTCATCCGGCGTGTTCTCTATCTGTGTTTCGAACCTCCCGCGAGCATCAAGGCAAGTGATATACTGCCTTATCATGATACCGCTAATCACACTATAGATATCGTGCCGAGAACCTTCTCGTGTCGTTCATGACCCCTGGCCCTCAAGAACCAACAGCTGAGGAGCTGCAACACTATCTGAAGCTCGTTGTTGACGATCTTGAGCAGCTTTTCAATAACGGTGTCGTATATCATACACCCTGTACACCAGAAGGCAAGTCCTCCGTTTAGTTTGCCATCGTCATTGTTGACTAAAATTCAAATTTCCATCAGGCCGTCGTGTGCGTGTCATGCTTTTGGGGATTATTTGTGACCATCCGGCGCTTTGCAAGATGTCCGGCTTTGCAGATCACGCCCACGATCAGGCGCCATGCCCCAAATGTAAGGTTACGGGGGATGAACTCTTCTCCGAGCTATCTCTTCAAAATGGCAAGTTGGTCTTGTTCCGTTGATCGTGTTATTCTAATCATGGACTACAGGTTATGAACAACGGTCTAACAGCGAACATAAACGATTAGCCTGCGAACACCGTGAGCTGAACACTGCCAAAGCACGAGAAGAACACTTCAAGCGGCATGGTTCCCGATGGTCTGAGTTTATGCGACTTCCGTACTTTAACCTTGTTCGTCAATCGGTAATTGACCCAATGCACAACTTGCTTCTTGGTGTGTCGTACTTTTATTCTTACTACGTGAAAACCTCATTCGTCACCCAGGAGTTGTGAAGACCCAGTGGCATGACCGGTGGATCAAAACGTCAGCCATCCGCGCACCGACTCAGGCTGGCAATGGACGAGAGCTTGGTGTTATACACCGGTTTCTCGAGTCAGTACGTGACGTGTTTCTACCTTTAATTGTGTTATATATGCACTCATTGGTGTCAGTTTGAGACGCCTTCATGGGCTGGCAAGCTGCCTGCTCGTGTTGGCGAGCCAGCTGGAGGTTCGCTTACAGCGGACGAGTACAAGTTTGCCATGCTAACTGCATGGCCATTAATTGTGAGCGGGGTTCATCTCACGTTTGATTAAACTGATCATATTCGATGTTAGATCCCAACTATATGGGATCGGTTTATTGACGATGCTAACAAGGACCAAGAAAAGGCGGTTGACGAGTACCCCGGTCGATACGCTGCGTGGCAAGCAGAGTGGAATAGCTGGCGCGAGCGAAACCCTTTGGCACCCATCACCGGCAAGCATAAGAAGAAAGACAAGGATCCAGAACCTGTTGCACCGAAGCCTCCCAAGGTCCGCATGCAGGCTGGCGAGCCAGAGAACCTCTTACGCTTGGCGACTGCTCTCAAAATCTACTGCGCGAGTTCTGTCTCTGTTGCCGCGCTTCCTCGAGCTGAACACCTTTTACAAGAATACCTTGTCAATTATCGGATGGTACGTCTACTAGTTATATACATTTATATGGCTAACACTAATGTACACCAAGCTATACGGCGCTAGCGCACTGAAGCCCAATTTTCATTGGGCGGTGCACCTCACCGAACAGATTCAAGACTTCGGCCCCGTGTATAACTTCTGGGCGTTCCTGTCAGAACGATTGAACAAAGTCCTGAAGAACTCGAACGTCAACAACTGGAAAGGGGGTCAGATTGAGATAAGCATGCTACGCGAGTTCTCGCGTGCATCACGTCTCAATGCGTTGGTAAGTACATGTGTTATTGTCCTCAATTAGCACCTAAGTATGAGTAGATTGGTACCATCGCTCTTGAACCAGAGAACAACACGGTCAAAACCGTTGTTTGCGCGCTCGGAACCATTGATCCTAGCCACGGAACACTGCACGAGGGTGCCACAGACGACGGTGGGTTTATTGTTTGTCTCACCAGCCCATTGGTTTGCACCACTACCCTTACCCTCCCAGATACCTGGTCACCTTTCTCTTGTCACGCTGGGGCCGTTCATGAGCTACAGCAGCTATCCGACACGGCACTAGTCTGTCTTCTTCGCTACTATAACGCAGTTGCCGAGGAAGCTAGAATCAAAACAAGGTTCCGTTTCTCCGGCGTTGTCAATCCCTCCACTAATGCCATTGCCCTCAACGAGTCTGCTGCCATGCACCATTATGCGCTCCTCCACGGCCGTCGAATTGTTCCGGTTTCAAGAGCACGAAACGAGTCCGCAGCCTCTGCAATTGTCCGTGTTGCCGTTGGCGGTGATGCATTCATGTATGGCGAGGTCATCCGAATCTTTTCGCACGAGCAGATGCAAGCTCCGGCCCCCAGCCATGGTCTCTTTGCTGAGTTTCGGTGGATGAAAGAGCTCGCGTTGTCCCCCACATCTGACGACTACTGGAATGATTTGTAAGTAACACCTTCATCCATGCAGAGCGTGAGCGCTAAAATACACTCAAGCCCCGAACTGGATATGCACTGCTTTGCGCTGAATGAGTTTCACCCTCCTAACGTGTTTGAAACTGTCTTTCCTTTTCATTTCATCAGTTGCCACGTCGCCCGTGGGGTCATCGAGACTTGTGATCCATCAATGTGGATCACGACAACACTGGATAGGGTGAGTCTCTTCACTGACATGCTATACGCGTACTACTGGTACTGATATACATTCGTATATAGCATCCAAGATAACTAGCTTGGAATCTGCCATTATAATCCTACACATCTGATCCAGCTTTTGGTACGTCAATTCACACTGCCTCCTTCTCCGCTACTGGTACCACCACCCTCGTTAGCGGTGACACCCTCATTTTCATTACCACCCATGTCTCCGCCGTCGCTCGTGTTGCCTCCACCTCCCTCGCCGACTTCACCAGTACCCCCCTCGCTGATTCCACCTCCCTCACCAGCCCCACCTCCCTCGCCGACTCCAACTTCCTCATTCTGCCCCTCAACTTGTTTCTTTTCACCAAATCCTGTCGGATCGCCCCACTTGGTCCACCGCCCAAGGTTCACCCGCTCCTTGTTCGCCTCGTACCACTCCATGTTAATGCCAAAGTTCCAAGGCTCCATCTTCTCTGGAAGACGCGGAGACACACGGTCAGTACCATATACACGTATGACAATTGCTGTTTCTGATTCCTTTGCAGACATGACGGTACGACGGAGTTCCCGTAGCTTCTCAAACACGAGCGACATCTGACATTGCGCTGCATTAGACAATAGACGCTAGGAGCGAATGTTCAACATACCTCTTCAGAACGCCATGCCGGCCTCAAGACTTCAAAGAACCTGAGTGCAGCGAACGCATCCCCACAGGTGGGTAAGGCTAACTTCTCCGCCATCCTAACCTTCCACTGATGCTTTGATTCAACTTCTTCATCTTCGGGGCCTGACGCTTCGTCCGACATGAAGTCCTCGTGGATGACGGGACTCGGGTCTGCCTTGTAAAGGTCGAAATAGGCCTCGATGATGGCGGGCTCCTCAAGCTTCTCGGCTTTCTGTTGAAAGGTGAGTAAGGGTCTAGATAGTATTCTGATACTGACCTGCTGGCGACGTCCTGTCCAGCGTCCACGCTGATCCGACATCTTCGATCGCTTCTGCGCTGCTGGATCATTTTGCCGTTTCCACTCTGTCCTCATGCCACTCCAGGTTACCTTCACCAGCGTCTCGAGGCTAGCTTTGTTCCACTTCACTTTCCGATCCATCAGGTCGTCGGGAAGCGTTTTGCTCTATCAATCATTGTGAGTCCGCTTATTTGGCTTTCATGAAGTGAATATACGCACTGTGATGTTGTCCCAGGCTTGCTGGACGATCGCACTGAGCACCGGCTCGTTTCGGGCATCATCAACGGGCGCAGAGAAGAGCGGAGTCACGTAGTCGATTCCTCGTGCAGCGTCCGTGCGTTTATTCTGATCATTTGGCCATCTTTCTCCATGCATGACACCGCACCGTTTGCGGAATGCAGGCTTGATGAGTCTCTGAATGGTATGTTATTACTTGTACACGGCGGTTGACTATGAGACTTACGAAGAGTTTGTTTCTTGCGTTCTTGGCCGGCCCAGGTGTCAATTTTTCTGTACAGACATCGATGGCGTCCTCATCGTACATGCCGGCGCGAGAGCCATCTTGATTCCGTCGCTCAAGTGCACTCGGGCGCCCACCACGCCGGCCACTCCGCCCGCCACGACCTCTAAGGGTGTCGGTTCCACGAAGCGGCACTTCTGTCGGTGCTGGACCCATCGGTGTGTTGTCGATGGTGGACTCGACACTGACAGCGGCTGCTGGCGCTGCCTCTTCTGCACGTGGGCGTGTCTCCGTTTGCGTGCGCCGGCGCCGGCGGGGAGGGGACTTGGTTCGTTCGGCGCTCGACAGCGAGTCCGAGCGATGACGGCGTCTTGACCTGGATGGCCAGCGCGAGCCCTCCCTCGAGTTCCTGTTTGGGGAACGCTGCACGTCACGACCCCGCGGCTGGTCCCTATGTAAGCTCCAGAGGTGAGTAAGTGCACAGTTTAGAGAAGTATATGGCTACTCACCGCTGCGCGTACGGATTAGCCTCATTGGGACCGTCCACAGAGTGATCGTGGTACTGGGTGGTCCACCGGCTATCCAATCGACGGCGCCGCTCTAGCTCTTCCTGCGCAGTGAGCACGGGATCAACGACGACAAGTCCGAGGTGCCGGTACCATGCCGCCTTCTGGTCCACTGGGAGCGCGTGCCACGATTCCTCGGTCACGGGAACGCCGGGGGGGAGAGGTAGAGACATGCTACGCTGGAGGTTGGGCTGGGAGTAGGGGATGCGGCTAGCAGGGGACGGAGGCGGGGCGGGATCAGGGCGGCGGCGGGATCAGCTAGGCGCGCTTGAGCGCTTTTATCTATTCGAGGATGTGGGGTATGATCTAATATATTCCATTCGAATCACAAAAAGAGCTTCTGTTTGAAGCATTGTCTGGTATGACATAGTAAATTCCATTTGAATCACTAGTAGGGCTTCTATTCAAGCATTTGGGCTGGCAATCGAACGGTCTAGCCAAGCGTTTGGAATGTCCTATTCAGCCATGACTACGTTGCTAACTTCTATGTGCATATCACCTGTGTTAGTCGAGCGTTTGAATTGAAGCTTCACTAGCTGATGAATAATTCACGGAATCAAAACAGGTCGTAGGTATTTAAGCCCGAGCTTGCCGCATGCTTGGATATTCGACCAAGTACGAATAGGAACTCTATTACAGCCTCAAATAGGGGGGTACGCGACCTAGTGATCATGGAGAACACGTTTTCTCCCTATGTCTTGTCCATCAGCTGCGCTACCCCTTCTGCTTACGCCAGGACCACCCAGAAGAAAGCGCTTTCTGGCCGCCATACACACTTTCCATTGACGCAATGGACATGGGCTACTTCGTTGTTGTAGTCTACAGCGATTCTCGGAGTGTGCATTGTCACTTCATGGACTTCCAGCCAGTCGGTGGGATACAATAACTAGTTTACCCTGATTGTCGTAAGATTTCCTCCTTCATTTCACGTATTGTCGATACCTTTTGGCAGATTGTGTCCAGACACACGAGTTTTCGAGGGTGAACGTGGAAAGGCGTGTTTTGAACGTGTCTCGGCGCGCTGAGCAGCTTGACAGACGTGGGAAGAGTTATATAACACCGGAACTACGGGACTGTGGGGCCGATCAATCCGATCCTTTGTCCGGCCGCTGGTCGAGGGAGGCATGTTCATACTCCCCTCAACCACCTTCATCATAGACCTACTTCCTCCACCGCACCCGACCACATATCCCCAATCTTATGACGAACACATCGCGGGATTCTCTCTATGACTTTCATGTCTTCATCACGTACACTGAAGACAAAATGAGTAGGATGAAAAAGATGGCAATCCCTACCCTTGTCAACATGGCCAAAGACGACATCGCAGAGCTGAAGGCGTACTGTCCCAAGTTCAGGGGTGTGAGACGTGTAGCAGGAGGGATATGGCTCAATTGGCCGGAGTGTACGTACCCAGCCTATGTGAGTAACCATCGCGTCTACCCCTCCCAGTCGCTCAGGGGAGCTAACGCGTAGCGTCCGGCATGCTGCAGAAGAACTACATTGTCAAACGATGGAAGGCACTTGCCAACGCGAGCGATTGGGAGCGGGAGGATCTTTACTACCCTTTGGACATGTAAGCCCTCCGGTCTTGCCCGACTCTCCAGACTGACCGAGGCCTCAGCGAAGATATCAGCTGCTGCGAGAGGTAAGTGTTTTGTATAGGATATATGCGCTCAGGTTGAATGAACAGAACATAAAGGCCTGTCGGGACAAGAATCTTCATCAAACGAACACAAGACGGCACGGTCTTTGAAAACGTTGGTACGCTTCCAGGGGCTCCGATATCCACCATCCGTTGGCAACAGTCACACTCTTCCACGTCCCGCTCGCCTATCACCACTCCCTCTCACCGCTCTGCACGTCTCGAAGACACACCAGAACGCGATACTTACCTCTCTTACTCCGAAGAATCGCCACGGAGTCCTTCAGCTCGTTCGTCTGAATGGCCTGCAGGTCCGTCGCGGAAGGGTCCCGAGCGTTCGCCAACGCAGGCACTAAATCCACCATTAGAGAGTTCATCCCCTCGAAAGAGCATATTCCCTTTTCGCAAGGCCTCAAACCTTGCGTCTCGAATATCAGGCATCAAGCACGAAGATCCAGCGGACAACGACACGAAGCCTGAAATAGTGCACGACAATGGATCCCTCCTCCTATCGTCTAGTGCCTTTGAATCTGACTCTAGGAACGTTGAGGTCGACAAGCCACTCGACGAGTTGACGCGCGAGCTTTACGAGGCGCGGGAGGACATGCGAGAGGCGTATGCGCGTGAGCGGCGAATAGCGAGGGAGCTGGAGCGTCGAGGAGCGAAGAAGCCTGATGGCTGGAAGGAAACGTGGGAGGCTACTTCAGGTGTGCCCGCATCCATGGTCTGATTCTGTTCATGCTACTGACGGCGCGGTGGTTCACAGAGCTTACAGCCAAGCTGGCCGACGTTTCCAAGAAATTCGAGGACGAACGTCGTCTACGGGCGGAGACAGAGCTTTACTTATGTCAAGTGACGGCGGAGAATGGTAGGGTGCCTCTCGTTGTACCGGCGCTGCTTGACGCGTTCATGGAGATATCGAGGCTGTCGGATTCTGTCGATAAAAGGGCCGCGGCTGGGTAATATGGATGTTGGTTTTGTTTGTTCTAGTACCTGTCTGCTGCGCAAAATGTTATGGCGACCAGGTTGGGCGCATATAGCCAGGTGGGAGGTTCAGCTTTGTGTCATTGCGTTTTATCCTTGCTGACATGCCGCTATCGAGCGCAGTTTATCGGCTACTTGTATCCTCTTATATCCAGCTTGTTGCAGCTTGTTGCTCTGCCCCTTGACCGTTGACTGCATTATGAGAGTTGTTCTATACGAACCGGATAACCACCGTCCATTAATTGAGGGTTGGTACGTATTTGCAGCAACCCGTCTCGCGGCACGACACGATTAGGCGTCCACAGCTGAGGCCTGAGGGACAGATACAATACCACTAATATCCAATTCTTGGTCATGATCCAATCATGATCTACATGATATAGCTGACGTCATCATAGGAGATTATAGGGACAGTTGCTTAGGGACAGCGGATGATGTAGTCCATGTGAAATATGGCCTTAATTTCAATGATGAGCATGTCCTCACCTCCTCCGGTCCGCTTGTCGACGAGTCCTCGTTGAATGAAACGTCCACCATGCCTACTCACTCACAGGTTGATTTCCATATCGCCATCAACTACACGGCGGAAAGACGTGCACTGTTCGCTCAATACACTCATACAGAGGCGGCCTACATTGCGATGACAGCCTTGCACGCCCAATTTCACGGTGTTAGGTCAGAACCACATAGTTACGTTTGGGTCAAGGGAGACGAGGCTTTGCAATTGATATGGCAGGACATACACACTTCTACGGTAAGGGTCACCTCCGGTATGTCCCAGGTTGACCACTAACCTTTTCTGGTGAACGCATTCAATTTGCAGGCCGACATGCTAGAGGCAATGTGGCAAAGACTTGCCGCGCCCAAAGAACCGGATGAGTTGGCTGTAAAGGCTACATTGGAAATGTACGTCTCCGCTTATGTGGCGGATATGGTCGCTCTTAACGCTAGGGTTTGGTGTTAGCCATAAGATCTACTTCAGACGATGGTGCGTAATACTCCCTTTTTACCCCTTGGTCATTGGCGATATGTGATCGCTGAGTGATGTCAGGCCTCCGGAAACGCGGCCTCCTTGCAGAGTCGAACAGTCAAATACCTCAGCATCCTCGCTAAACCCTCCGCCAGTGCTAATTTCGCAGGTGTCGTCAGTTCCGTATGCAACGAGCGATCATCATTTCGTTGCTCTTCCAACGGGTAGATCTTCCTCCCTCTCGGGGTCTCCTGTCCCGATCGCCTCATCGCTCGCCGTCTTGCCACCCCACACCAATCTGGCACCCCCAATACCCCGAGACGGGCGAATATCGGTAACTCAACCGGTGCTACCAAACCATCCGGGGTTGGAGTATAATCCTCCATCAAGTGAAGAACTAAGTCGACAAGGACCGGGTGTTCATTCGTTATCTCCGCCTAAATCATCACCCAATGAGAGCAAAGAGGACGCGATACGAAGACTGACAATCGAGCTTGAGCACACGCAGAATCAAATGATATCGGCTCACACCCGGGAGCTTCAGATCAGACGCGAGCTCGAGTGGCTAGATGGCTGTAAGCGCGTCGACGAGACACTTACCACCGCGCGTGAGCTCTCTCTTCGTCTGTTTCATGCAATAGTTCATAGAGCGCTGATTAACATCGTCGTATTACAGAGCTCAGTGCCGAACTGCATGCCGTCGCCCGAGTTGCTCAGGCTGAGCGAAGGCGACGTATGGATGTCGAGACAATGTTGGGGCAAGCCAACGCGGATATCAGGAGATCTGTCGTTGCTCCAGCGCTTCTTGATATGGTGAGGGAGATTTCGACGCTGGCGGAGGTGGTTGGGGATGGTGTCATGCCCGCCACGGGTGCTCACTATTAGTACTTTACTGAGCCACGACAGCTTCCGGTTATCCTCTTTCTGCATTCTGGAAGAATATACCTTTTGATTTTACGCTTCTAAAATTCAATGACGAAAATATCGCACAGTATTATAACAGTTTATATCTTGATTTGTAGCGACTTTATTATCGAACTATCGCTCCGCACGCGAGATACCGCACAGCCACACGGATCAGGCACCGAGGTTTTGCCACGGACTTGAGCTCCATCGAACACGCCGAAAGCAGCTCCTTCCCAACCTCCATCGTCATGGCTGACTGCCCAGATCCAGTTGTGCACTTTGACTTTCACGTCTTCATCAAGTACAAGGCTGAAAGCAACATATTCGTCTTAGGTCAAAAAGACTTTGTACAGACAGTCATACAGGACATTCAGGCGCTTCGCTCCGCTCTACCAAAGCGCGACAGCATTGTTCGTTACCCGGCCGTGCAGTGGGTTCAGCTCAGTTGGCTGAACATAACGAGCAGTTCTGTAAGGATTTGTTTAAAGATATATGCCCATGCTTACACTCCTCTTTGTGTACCTTGGACGGTGCCATTCGGGTATCTTCAGGAAACAACCTTAGTGCACAAGTGGGCGAAGATAGCCAATCGAACTGATGACGGGATCGAGGAGTTGTGGAACGATTTGGAAATGTACGTCCGTTATCTGAGGTAGCGACCCGTCATGTCTGACATTGACCTCAGCGAGAAAATCGCCCTCAGGCGATGGTGAGCATCTGGAGTCTTTGCGGCTCGCCTACAAAACTTCTGAGCGTTTCAGTCCGCCAGGCTCTCGATTGAAGCCGCCGTCTTCGCTGGGGATTGGTACAACTACACCCCAAACAGTCCCCCGTAACTATACAGCATCGGGATCTCCACCACAGAAAGCTCCATCCCCCTTCACGAAAAGCAACGTTGCTGTCGTCACAACAGACTCGACACCTGTGCCACCTTCTCAAACTAGAACTGCGCCAGCCTTTGCTCTTCCCAGAAAACCTGCAGCATTTACTGGTCAGGTGCAATTCTCGTCTGCTCTGCGTACAGCGCGGTCTCTCGCTTCGTCACAGACAGGAACAGGACCTGTTTCCGCACCTCCTGCTATGGCATCCCAGGCCGCACAGCCACTTCAGGCAGTGGGTACACTTCCTTTGACTTCTACGCAGGCACGACCACCCTCCTATGCAAGGTCGGCGCCCGTCTCAGCACCTCCTCCTGGTGCGAAGCCAGTCGTTCAACCCCAGGCAGTGGTTTCGTCTACCTTGCCTACGACAAAGGCTCCGCCTCCTCCACAGGGAAGAGCAGCCCCTGTCTCCTCTCCTGCTGCCGCGAAGGTTTCCGCTCCGACGACCCGGGTTGGCGATCTGGATGTTTCCTCATTGCTCCCAGCAGCAAGTACTACGACAGCTAGCTCAGCGGTATCGAGAGGCCCTAACGTCCCGGCCGCACCTGCTTCGAACCCAGCAGCGATTCCGATCGCGAACGGCAGTGGTGCTAATACGCCGGCCACCGCAGCTGCTTTATCGAGCGCGGACCAAGAAAAGGTTCGGGTGTTGACCATTCTTCTGGCAGAGGCACAGGCGAAAATGAAGGACGCCCATCACCATGCGCACTTGCATAAGTCTCGGCTCAAACATCTAGGTGCTTGGAAGCCCGAGGCAGAAGATTCGCGGACCACTGCTGGTGATTAACCATTGTTCTTGCATTTTTTTATTTGCTAACGACCACCGGCTTTCAGAGCTCGTTATGGAGCTGAATGATGCTAAGGCGGCTCTTCAAGTCGAGCGTCGGCGGCGGTTACAAGTTGAGAAACAGCTTGAGAAGGCGAACTTAGAGCGGGAAAGTCAGGCGCTCATGTTCCCGGTGCTGCTCGAGGCCTTCAAGGAGATCTCTACGTTGGCGGATGCGGTCGCCGATGCCCCAATGGAGACGTGACCGAATTCAACTTACAAGATGCATGACGGCGCTTAGAGGCGGAGGCTAGCAATGTTTGTGCAGCTCGGGGCAGGGCCCGTTCTGAGGACTGCAGTCTTTGGCTCCATGTGCAACCTCGATGCATGGTTGGAGAGGGCACACCCATGGAGGCGTCCATAGTGCGCACTCTTCATGAAAGTAATGTGCAAGCTGGATACCAGCGACAAACGAGCACTCTGTGCTTTTGCCAGGCGCACTGGAGTTGGCAAACTATGCCCTCAGGGACCGGATCATCCATGTAATCGTCCTATTTCTTTAGTCATGTCTTCCTCTCGAACTTTCAGTTTATGTTCTTTATCGTTATCACGAAATGCCGCTGTACCATGATAGTATTTTAACTTGACCGAAAAGCCGACGGAAGCGTCGGCCATCGAAGCAGGTACAGCCTTGTACAGCCACGCGGTTCCCAGGCACCGGATCCTTTTCGCCTACAAAGGTGACGTGAGCGGCCACAGCAATGTGCTAAGTTACTCGTTCCGAAACACCCAAGACCATGTCCTCCTATCGAAAGACAAACTCATTGTTTGACTTCCACGTCCTCATCCTATATTACCCACGGAAAAGGGCTCACCTTACCAATCCGGAAGTCGCCTTCCGGATAACCAAAGAGGACGTCCAGGAGCTTCGTGCATTTCAGCCGAAACGAGGTAACGTCACGTACGTCGACGAATGGGGATGGTTGCAGTTGAGTTGGCCGGGGGTTACTCACAATGTGGTAGGTCCCCATGTGCATAAGCTCTGCGGATGCTCATGCAAGTGTCTCTTGTCACGGATCGCATACAACGATACGCGATTGTCGTCTACACTACAGGAAAAGACGCTCGTTGCTCGTTGGGAGAAGGTTGTGCATTCAACGGGGAGGGAGGTGGATGACCTGAGGAATGATTTGGAAATGTAAGTATGGCAATGACATGGCAAAGCATTGACGACTAAATCCGGGTTTGACTTCAGCGAGGACATCCAGCTCTGTCGCTGGTAAGTTCATGCTAAGTTCATGCACACTCCGTCATAGAGAGCATTGACCGCGTACTGTTGTAGTCGTCCTGGAGCCCCGGCGCGAATCCCAGTCCCCAGAGCTCATGCAAACCTACTAGAGTATCACCAATGGCTCTCCACATCCTCTATTACCTCTCAAGGCTCTGCACTGCCCAGCATGCATGCTGTGTCTCAGACACAGACGAGGACATCGCCCGATGTTGATCTTTCTGCTACGCTGCCTCCGGCATCTCAGATATCCTCCGCCTCACTCGCCAATGGCCTTCCTCCACGTCCAGCATCAACTGCATCTGCGACCGCACTCTCAGGCTTAGAACATTTACAAGCTATACCCATGTCCGTCCAATCTACCACACATACATCCACCTCCCTTGAGACGGGCGGCAAACCATCAGAATCTTCTCCTGCACGAACCCCTGAACTTATAGAAGCGGAGGTCGTCATATTGACCGAGGCTCTCGCTGTCACTCAAGCACAACTGAGAGAAGCGCGTGCAAGAGAGGTTGGAATCAAACGCAGCCTAAATAGCCTTGGCGCCCGTCCATTAGAGAGTGAAGAGGAATTGCGGACCAATGCTGGTAAGCCAATGGCTTCCTCTCTTCAAGCGTCTTATCGTCTTCTTCATGATGTCTCAGTCCTGAACTCTGATCCTGATAGAACTTCTATCCGAGCTCAATGCCGCCAAAGAAGAAGCTCGAGTTGAGCGTCGCCGAAGAATCCAGGCAGAGACACGGCTCGAAGAGGTGAAAGCAGAGCGCCAGACCCCCTTCGTCGTCCCAGCGCTGCTCGAGATTTTCAAAGAGATCTCAACAGTGACGGAATCCGTTAGCAGTGTGGTGTGCTAAGACGGCGTAGGAGGCTCTTTAGAGTTCACGCCAGGATGAATGGGGCGTGAGCTAAAGAGCCAGTATCATTCGGATACCAAATCACTCCCAAAATCCACTCGCTCGCTATCTGTCTGTATGCCTCCGAGTCTCCGAGACCGCCAACTACCCTCATTCTTCACAATCCGGCCTCGTTCACTATTTGAGCAATGTGGACGGGTGCGCCGTCAGCAGAAACAGGGCTCGCGTCTGTTACCGTTTCGATGGCGAGCCTTCGCTTCTCACACCTATCCTAATCCTAGGGCTTCACCTACTATCTGTCCGCGGCAGGGCACTGGCCTGCCAGTTCGCAGTGGGGCTGCATAGGTGCCTCAAGCTTCATGGACGTACGCGATGCGGGCTTTACCCCTCACATTCACACAATGATAACATCAAACCAAATCAAAATATTCATCCCTGTCCCGCCGTTTGTCTCCTTTATCACCACCCCTGCTGGTTTACCTACGAGATGACATCACCATCGTGTACATGATGTTCAGTCAGGAAGCGTCCTCTTTATTTATTCAACGTCAAGTGTTTGAGCGAACATCTATTTTCAGGTAAAGACTATGCATGTCTTATGTGACTATAATTACAACAAACGTGGGTCTACCCTCTGAGTTTTCGTTCATCACCGACCAATGCGTGTTGACGCGGATGCGTCGGCCCACGCGAGCGTTAATTAGAGTTGCACAGCCATGCGTCGGGAGCAGTCAGGCATGGTTTTCAGCGCGTCCAGGGCAATCTCAGGGCTTGTCTTCTTCACATTGCCCTGTCTCACTCCTATACGTGTCACCCCCGAACCCAATGACCGACGCGGCCATCGACCTTCGTGTCATCATCCAGTATACGCAGGAGAAGTGGGGGCTTATTGGCAACTCGATGGACGCGATTCGGATAACGCAGAGGGACATCGAGTTTCTGAGCGCGCAGCAGCCGTTGACGCAGAACATCATCTTTTACGCGACGAACGGATTTGTGATATTGAGTTGGACAGGTGTAGCGGGTGCTGCGGTGAGTGTTATAAGCTACTTGGCTGCCGCGTTAATATGTTGACAACGAGGCTCAACATCATAGAGGAAAGCGTTGGTACCGCGATGGAGGAGGCTCTCCGACCAGCACGACCATGAGATGCACGAACTCAGAACAAAGATTGGAATGTACGTCTGAAATCTGTCGTACAAAAGCATAGACTGATGCCGGCTCTGCAGTCTCAGGATCGTATGCAATGTCTCGTACGTGCCAATCGCTCTTGTCCAGACAGCGAGGCTCATTTATCACGTTCCACCAGACCTCACGGGAACTATCGGCCGCCTGGTGGCACGTTAACCCGGAACTACATCCAAGGTTTGGGCATGTAATCGTCGTTCACTTAGCGCTGCTCAGACTCTGGTTACCAGCTGCGGTATCGGGCGTTGCTAGCCATAATGGCGCTGCTATCTCTTCTGCCCCTATTACCTCCTCTGCTCCCGTTTCCCAAAGTCACGTTACCCCTCAAGCTGGGCCTTCAACGTCCTCCTCAGCACGTGTTCCCTCTATTTCATTGATAGCTGGAACGAGTTCTTTAGACGACGGTATCCCTGCTCTCTCTGCTTCAAAACCAACAAGTGGCGTACGGAACGGCGCCGTTGCGAGCACATTCTCAGACCCTCAGTGGCGTCACAATGTTACGACTACTTCAGCAGCCCCTCAGGCTGAGAATGCCCAGCTGGAATACATAACACCACTCTCTCGAACTAATACCCAGGGTTCTCCCGGAATTCATTCTTTGGTTCCCGTAATGCCTCCTCCCCAGCCCACAAGTGAACCTCCTCCTATTCCACCAGCACACCTCGAAGTCCCGGCGAGATCCACTGACGCAAATGTCGTCTCGTCGCTGACAAGGATAACCGCTCAAAGCCGGGAGGAGTACACCCAAAGACTGTTCATGCTTATGGACAAATCCGAGGAACAGTTGCGACTGGAACGGGCGAAGATATATGTTCTCAAGTCCCAGCTGGAGCGGATTGGTGTTCGCAGGCGCGTCGAGGAACCGCGAACGGTTGAAGGTAAGCTATCTTTGGCCCTTTACCTTTATCAACCATCGTATACTATACTACACCAAGGATATAATACTGATAGAACACGTACACGACAGGCGTCACTGCACAGCTGGATGCTACTCTGCACGTTCTTGAAGTCGAGCGCCGGAGGCGAGTGGAGGCGGAGAAGCAACTCCAGGAAATGGCCACGGAGCGTCAGGGATTTCAGCATCTTGTTCCTGCGATGCTTGAAGTATTTCAGGAAGTGTCTTCGGTGACGGACGCTCTCGCTTCCGGGACCGGTCCTTAGGCGCATATTGTTGTTCGGGCCGAATGAGTCGGATCCTTGCTCAAAGTTACACATGATTCATCCTGGACATTGCACTTTGGGATACTGTGAGCAGTCCTAATAGCAAGGCCATGCAGTCGTCATTTTTCCCGGGCAAGCTTCGTCAATACTGACCTTTCGCTTCTTGCGTCCAACCTTGGTCCGACCAAGCCGTCGGATGTTGCGGAATTAGCGCATACATCTACTGTTTCTAAGCTTGGTGACTCCTTCACACTACTTGGTCTTATTTTACGACGTCATTTACTCTAGTATCTATGTCCTGGGAATTGTACATTATATGACTCGCTACTGCTAGTTCATGCTGATTTTTGCTTGCTGGATCTGAATTGGACCCGTGCGATTTCAAGCAAAGTGGCACAGCCACCGACGGTGTCTGACGCGTTTTGTTGCGCTGCCAGTGCATGTCCTCCTAAGTCTATCTCCCCCTCGTTGAAGTATCGAGCGAGTTTTCCTCAAGGTTCGTCTGTTAAGTCTTTATAATAACGTGTGGAGTACTAATCGTAGCCTGTGTGCTGGGCCATTGCTAGCCACAGCCCGATGTCGCGTTCCAGCACCAAGGTTGACATGACACCCCACTGACGTCGAGCCGGGATGCCTAGCCGACGGCGTCTTCGTTTTCTTAGCCGCGCAGACGCTCTCTGAGCTGAACGACGACGCGCGAATCCAGCTTCGGGGAACGTCAAACTTGCTTGCAAAAGAGGGCTTATTGTATTGGAGACTCGTGCGTCACACGTGTTTACCTTGTGGATCCAATCTAGAACTGATACTTAACTTAACCTTGGCCATCCCCTCGCCTCAATCTCTCTCGTGCCCTTCCTGCTCTGCCCCTTATTTTACAGCCCAGCCATGTTCGACCCATCTCGAACACTCTCCCTTGAATCACTGCAGTCAAAGTCCGCTGCACCTGAACCCGTGTTTCGTCGCCGCAAGCGACCTCGGAACGAAGGCCTGCGCAGGGACCGGAGGAGCAGGAGCCGATCACGTAGCCCCGAGCGCACAGTTCGCGCTCGGTTATCTTCGCCGGATTCTCCGCGTAATAGCGCGCGTTTTCATCCCTCACGACGTTCTCGCAGTCCTAGCCCCACCCTTCGCCGTCGTGAAGATCGTTCACCGCCACCCAGAAGGAGGCTATCTTCACCCCGTCGTGAAAGCCGAGATCGCCGCTCAATCAGCCCACCTTCCTCCTCAACCTCCGCCGATCGATCCTTCATCCGTAAAAGAGAGCCCCACTCGCCGTCAAGAAGCATATCGGAATGCGGTCGGGACAAACCTGAAAGGTCGGCATACCAGCGCCAGCCTTCAACCCGTCAAGACAAAATATCGCTCTATAAACAAGATGTATGGGACGCCCGTAGCGTCAAGCGTGCCGCGCACGCGCGAGAGATGCGCGCTGTGCGCGAGCTGATGCGCTTGGGGGAGCGGGTGCCAGCTGCGGCGGATCACGGGTGGGAGGACGATGACAGTGAGTCTCTACAGTATATCTGTGTGTGGTGAATCCTCTTCCTCGTGCTTACGCGAACGACTTTAGCGTTTATTGCCGAGCTGAAGAGCGTGACGGATGCCTTTGAACGAGAACGGCGCAAACGCAAGCGCGCCGAGAAAGAACTCGCGGGTATGAAGGCGGCACACGAGACGCCGTTTCTTGTACCGGCGTTACTCGAGGCTTTCGTGGAGATCGATAAGTTGGCGGAGCATGAGCCGCGCTCCACCAGGGGCGCTCAGACGAGGAGCGTATCACGATCTTGGCAAGAACCATGACTCGATTTCCCTCTCGGTGCGTCGTGGCAATCAACAGGCTACTGTCATTTACTTACCGTGTGGCAGTCATCTTCTCGCTTACCCAAATTAAAGGCTCCATCTTACTCCTAACTTCACTACCAGCAACGCAACCACTGAGCACCCACACTAATACTTAATCAGATATATTTTCTGACTGCAATGGGCGCTGGCAATCTAATTTAGTGAACATTCAATCTATTGTCATTGAAGTGATATGGTGAATTTCTACATTCACAGGCTCTAAATTTGGCACTAACTTCGTCTGACTTGGGCACTACTCCGCTTTAGCCGGCGGAGACACCCAACTGTGATCGCCCTCCATTTCTAGAAACTGCCTGAACTGCTCGAGATTCATACCATAACTCTCTTCTTCCATACTCGGGAATGAGCCGTCCTTCACCGCATCTACGAAACTCGTAATGCCCTTCTGCACTTCGCCCCTGACGTCCGCGAACCTCCGCACGAACTTTGCTTTGTGACCAAGCCAGGTTGCCATTACGTCGTCATAAACTAACACTTGCCCGCTGGTCCACGGCCCGGCTCCTATTCCAATTGTCGGGATCTTCAGCCGCGACGTTATATACGCGCCGAGCTCGTGAGGGATTGCCTCCAGCACTATCGAGAATGCACCAGCGTCCTCGAGCGCGAGCGCGGCGTGCAGGATCTCCCTCGCGCCCTGCGCCGTCCGCCCCTGCACGCGGTACCCCGACAACGCGGTGTGCCGCTGAGGCGTCAGCCCGACGTGCGCCATAACGGGTATACCGATGCGGGTGAGCGCCCGGACCGAGTCTACGAGCTCGATTCCGCCCTCCATTTTGACGCCCTCAGCATGGCCCTCCTGGAGCATGCGCACCGCGGCTGCCACTGTGTCGTTCGGGCCGCGGAAGTAGCTCCCGAATGGGAGGTCGCCGACGAGGAACGGGGCGGAGGCGCCGCGCGCGACGGCGCGGCAGTGGTGGATCATCTCGTCGAGCGTGAGGCGCGATGTGCTGTCGTACCCGAGGCAGACCTGCGCGAGGGAGTCGCCGCAGAGGATCATGTCGACGCCGTGCGTGTCGCATGCGCGTGCGGTGAGGAAGTCGTACGCGGTCATCATGGTGACGGGTGTTCCTGCAGCGCGCCGCTTGTTCAGCGACTGGATGGTGATCTTTTTATGGGCTGCTTGGGTGGTAGAGTGTGCATGTGAGTACAGGAAGGTTTGAAGAATGACTAAATGGACAGACCGGCGGATAGAGAGTCCTGTGCTGTCTCTTTCGCAAGTGGGCGTGCGCTCATCCATCGCCGGAATATGCATCCCCGGAGGTTTGCAGTCATGGTAGGCGCTCGAAGAGTAAGCATTGTAAGAAAGATTTGTGCGAGAACTATGAGGTGACCGAGTCTTTATAACAGCCCGTCTGCGGTGGTTGATGAACAATGAGTACTGAGTGTTCGAACAGAGCGAGAGCAAGCTGGCAGTTTATATTCTTTACTACTGGCTAAATTTGAGTCTAGTGTGCGATGTCGAACGTAATGCCAGTACTTGAATGGAAATAGAATGGACGTACATTGGGCTATGCTTGGATCGCGTAGCACATGCTGAAAACACGAACGTGATATGAAGGTCGCTTGCTCCTGGAAGCAAAGGGGCCAGATGCATTCCGCAATAATCGGAGTCCGTTTTCGAAGTCGATCTTACCACCGGGAAAACGCCCCGGACCGCAACGTTGCCGCAATCTGTTTCGTGTCCCAGTTTGTGAACGTTTCCTGAGTCTGTTTCACAACCATTGAAGCCCTGGCTTGCATGTGAGAGCTTCTTGTTCGGGCATCCTTTAGCCCTTTGTCTTTGCTATTGCTCCGTTACCGTCTCCATTCTTTGTGCAATGCCACCATATCTATCGTCTCGGCTAGAGGCGTCCATAGAATAGCAGTGGCGAGGCCACAATTTAAGAAAACTGTACGGTTCGTTCCATCGATCCATTACAATGGCGCACTAGTACCTAAGTAACAGATACTACTCTATACTATGACTGCATATTAGTTAATTCGTAACGACCAAGATCGCTGTCATACCCAATGTTGGTCCGTGTCGATTGTTATACATCTGAGTGTTTTGGCCGTCCCCGTCGGCGGTTCGGCGCGTTTGGCGTGCCAGGCTCATACCAATGTGTCGACACGCGGAAGCGCAACGGAAGGGCGGGCCCTAAAACCAATTATAAGCAACTTGACAATCGTGCGCAGATTCGCCTGATTGGCTCGGGACGATAGGGATCACCCGCTGACATTTCTTACTATAGGCGACTCTTCTCCGTCTGATAAGAGCTCATGGCATGCTACAGATGTCCAGCGCTGTCGTCCGAAGGTATTTAGTGATGAAAGAAAATGACTGATCATTGGTTCGATATGCTACTTCCTGTCTCTTTCAGATTTTCGCCAATACATACACAAGTAGAACAAGGTGACCTGATTTATATATATATCGATGTCATTTGTTGATCGTTTGCAGAATCGATTGGTGGGCCTAGGGTGATAGTGGCATCACCCACTAGCATGCCTCATTATAGGCCACTCATTTCCATCTGATAACATTAACAGATGACCAGGCCGATGAGATTAGCGAGAGACTTGCACCTCAAATAAAGGCCCTTGCATCCTCTCTACTTGCGCGGTGTTGATCCCCCCTCTTCCCCTCAAACTCACTCCGTGAGTCCTTGAAGTTCTGATAATGTCCCTCCCAGACATGATCGACTGTGTGTGTGTTCAAACAGGGTCTGATTCTGATTGTAACACTTTGTTGGAGCATACACGCTGTCATCATTATCAAGATTCGGTTTTATTGTCCTCTGGGGATAAACACTATAGTATACAGTTCCCGACGTAGGAGACTGGTTATCGCGATAGAAGGGGAGCTGGACGAGTGCGTGCCAGTGTGGGTTAATGCAGTGAACAAGAAGGTAAAAGACATAGGCGGGATTACACGCTGAGGATTTTATACCCCAGTTTTATGCGGATGCGCAGTGTACGAGTTTATAGTATAAACGTACTTGGAGAGCTTCTGTCTCATGTTTTCCTGAAACCGAATCTAAAATAAATCGCGCAGATATTCGTTGAACTGTATGAAACGGGAGAATGGATCGGATAGGCGGGATCTGGAAAGCCTCATATAGGTGAGTCTTCTCCATCTGATAGCGATATGTAGATCAAGGGCCGGGCGCCGATGACTTGCGATAAGCTCGTGGTTTAAACGTTTATATACAGCCCCTGTTTTCTTGCTTCTTGTGTCGCTTTCATCAACTAGCAGCGGTGTCGACTGAGGGTATGTTCATGCAATGTGTGATTTGAGCACATTGGTTGAGCATACTCATACCCATCCCGTTTTAATACCCTACGGAGTCATTCCGTCACACGATCCTAACTCCAGACTCGGATTCCTGCAAATATGATGACTCAATGTCCGATCATGATGGTTGCCCTGATAATGTCAACTGCAATAGTCGGTCCGTCTCATGTACTATCCACGCCCTTTTTAATCCTTGCCAACATAGACACTAGCAGAACAAATGGGCTTGGCTGTTTATCAGATTTAACAAAGTGTACGATTATCGAGCTTCCCTCCTAGTACTCATCGCGAGCCCACGCTGCGATGCACTCCCGTCCAATGTGCATACGAGCTAATCCAGCTGAAGATGATGTATGTTCATGCAACGTGTGAGGATATCTTTCAGACATGGCGGGGAAGATCAGATACTGTGTCACCTCCATCCCTCCTGGTGCGCCCACGCCGCCCCAACTCAAGTTGGGGGCGCCAAATGCCACAGCCGCCGTGTGAACGTGGCAGCACGCACCCTGATACCTGCGGGTGCGTAGTGTAGGAGCGAAAAATCCCTGTCCCACGTCTTCCCGAAAGCGAACCCAATCCAAGTCGTGCAGAGGGCCAACCACAGAAAACGTGCGCATCCTCCAGACGGGTGGCGTCCGACGCACCTGCTCAGTGAGATCTACGTCATCCTCATCGGCACTGGAAGGTCTGTTAACTGCCTTGACCAAGTAGAGTGCTGTCTCGTCGACCGCGACGTCGCACGCAGTAAGGAGGATGGGAGCGAACAGTGCACTGGAGACAGACGTCGCTGCCTTCGACATAGCGCGATCGTGGGCAGCCTGCTCTATAGTAGTCGGGAAGGAACGAGCGAATACGGGCCCAGGAGGCGGAAGATACCCCATGAAGATCCTATGAATCTTCCCCGAGTACTCGAACCAAAGACGGGACTTGGGACCCGGCCGGTGGGTATTGTTATAGGCCTGTTGGGCTTGCAGCGTTTCTTGAAATAGGATGACCTCGCTGTGGGTCGGGAGGACCAAAGTGTGGACCAGGGAACACAGAGCGGCTGGACGGAGCGTAGAGTTGATGTGACAGAGACTCATAAGCTCTGCGTAAGGGCTGCCGCCGTCGGCGAGGAGACTAAAGTCGGGCGTCGCGGCGATCGAAACAATGTGCCACATGACGTCAAAGTGGAGAGAAACTTGAGAAGTTGGCAGAGGTTGTTGCACCTCATTTGCCGGAGGAGATGGAATGGCGGACATGGGAAACTTGAAGAATGAATGATAATGAATGAACGATAGTATCCTGAGGTGAAGAAGACAAGAGGGTCTGCTTGAGCATGCATTGACATCGAGTTATATATGCTGCGGGCCCTCCAGACTTCTCACCTTCTATACCGGGGCCAGATGGTGCTATGTTTGAAGTCTCGACCCTTGGGAAACGAGGAAGGAATGATTGCCGATGTCAATCCTCGAGAACAATGCAGAATTGATATGGATTTCTTCAGAGTCCGAGGTTGTACTGAATAGAATGTTAGCCTTATGCAATGCTTATCATGGGGCCAGGTCTTCATTTAAATTTGATGCATTGATATGGGGTGCGTACCGAACGTGTGCCCGAGACTCCCTGCGGGTGATCAACAGGGTGACCAGGAGGCGTTTCCCTTGGCTGGCGAGTCGGCTGAGCCCACGCTTAGTCTATCGCACTGCCAGCGACTCACGCAACCGCCAAGGGGTGCATTCACCTGTCATACCATGAGTTTTGAAGAGTTCCCTGCTCCAGCGCAAGGAAGTGATCGTTAAAGTAGCGAAGGGTTACACTTACACACAGTACCCTGCACTGCTTACTAGCGCTTACTTTGGACGTACGTTGAATTGCACTTTCGACTTGACTTGATTTGCTTGTGTTTGCTTCGCCTCTTGCTGTTTATGCCTTAATTTCCAGCGTGGGGCAACAGGGGCAGTGACACACCCTACAAATGTCAATTAATTTACGCTTGCCATCGGAGCCTCGTATGAGACGACCTGTCCACGTCTGATGGAGTTTGACTCCCTTCCCTTAAGTCAGTACCTCACTCATGTATGAAGGCACAACAAAACTGAACGCACGTTTCAGGGATACGACACATCATCCCACCTTGCATCCCAAGCAAGAGCGACCGGGACCTCTCGAAGGAGCGGCAATGGAGACGATGCGCTCCAAGACGTGGAAGATGATACGAAAAGCCTGCCGTGATTTATTCAAGCTAAGCACACCGTGACTCAAGAATGAAGTGTTCCTAGAGCAGGGATCCCAGTTTTCGTACCAGGTCTAGAAGCTGTAGACAGTAGGGTGCTACGCGTGTTGTTGGGCCAGGCCTTTGAGCGCGATGATGGTTTCTTAGCCGACGTCAAGGCTCGAAGACAATGCGTACTAGCGTTGAGCTGCTCTGTTTCCTCAGTCTGGTTCTAAGTATGAACTGAACGAAGTGCTTATATATGGGCCTCGTGTCATGCGGGCAAGTTACTGAGGCTGTCGTGACGGATATCGAGGTACATATCTTAGGAAGTAGGTCATGGCACCGAGCAACCATTGGCAATGCCATGCGAGATATGTCTAACGCGAGTGAAAAGGAGGTCAACGTGGGCCGGGGGATGAGGGGTTTCCGTTGAAAGGCTTTGATATGAAAAACACCATATTTTGGACGTCTCGTGCGGGACGCTAAGGGCGTGAGCAACATCCGTGGGAAAATAGTAGTCAAACGCGCCGAGCTTTCAGAACGGCCAGCTTCACTACTTTGAAGCAACTCTACAATATTGTTATCAGTAACCCTCGGGTCAGCTTGGATAGGCTTAATATCGAGCTTTCCACTTGGAAAACCAAACCGGTAAGCTAGCAATTGCAATCCCCATTGTTATCTTGATATAGCGTGGTATTTTCTGTATGCAGTCGCGCTCACCTGACAGGGTCACAGGAGGAGGAAGACTCTCACTAAACACCGGGGCCCGAAACTACAACTTAACCTACACGGTCTACTGCGTTTGGAGGATCGCATGACCACCGGTATCATGACCGGCGACGTGCCGCTGATATCATCGTAGGAGCTCATGTCACAAACAGGAGCCTGAGTCTTGCACTTGTGTACGTCTCCCACTTTTGATTCCTCTCTCCCACCGAGCTTTAACGCTATACTAGTACTATCGATATCATGTCCAACCAGCAAACGCGTATCACAGATGCCGAGTTCGACGTCCAGTCCGCGTCCAGCCTGGAGCACGCACCTCGCCCGCCGTCGTTCGCCAGCAAAGAGGAGGAGCGCGAGTGGGTCAAGTTTAGGCTTGCGCAGTCGTTTAGGCTGTTTGGTGTGTCTTCCGTACCGGAATCAGGGGCTCTATGACTGAAGCCAATCGTAATTGCTGCGCCGGGACTCAACAGCGAAATGGGGGTATGACGAGGGCCTTGCGGGGCATATCACTGTGAGGGTGAGCAGGGCGCTGCGGAGTCGTAGCTCGTTATACGATTGCATGGGGGTCTGATATGCATGGTATGGCATGGTCTGCAGGACCCAATCAAGCCCGAGTGCTTCTGGGTGAACCCCTGGGTACGCCGGTCTCCCCCAACCGTCTCTCTATGTCATTGATATCACACTGATATCACGCTGTGCAATACCAGGGCCCGCACTTCGCGACCATCCAGCCGTCCGATCTCCTGCTCGTCGACCACCACGGTAGCGTGCTCGCCGCCGAGTCGGGGCCGAACCACTTCCTGAACAAGGCCGCATATCTCATCCACGCCGCGATTCACGCCGCGCGGCCCGATGCGCTGTGCGCGGCGCACTCGCACAGCATACACGGCAAGGCGTACGGTACGCTGGGGCTGCCGCTCGATCCGATTACGCAGGATAGTTTGGCGTTTTTTGAGGTGGATATTTGTCTTATGATATGATATGGATTGTTGATTGGGATTTTGGGTACAGGATCATGTGGTGTTCAAGCAATATGAAGGTGTCGTGGGTGCAGAGAAGGAGGCGGCGAGCATCGCCCAGGCCCTCGGTGGCAACAAGGTCTGCACCACAATCACACAGTTAATTTCTCTGTTGATTACTCACTAAATCGAATTGGTTTCATTCAGGCTGCCATCCTCCAGGTCTGTACCTAGCTCGCACACGCCACTGAAAATCGCTGACTTCTGCCTTTTCATTCCAACAGAACCACGGGATCGTAACCGTCGGGCGCTCGATCGAGTCCGCTGTGCACTTCTTCCACTCCATGGAGCGCTCATGCAGGGTGCAGATGCTCGCGGACGCGGCAGCCGCGGCGCGAGGAGTGTCGACGCAGAAGATACCGGCGACGGAGGCGCGGTCGTCCGCGGCGCTCGTGGGCTCGGAGCGCGCGGGCTGGCTTAACGGGTACGTCGAGTTTGGTAGGTTTGAGGCGGAGGAGGGGGTGAAGTTTAAAGGCGGAAAGTGAGGTGGTGGTTATGTTTTGGAAGATTATGCATATCAAAATAGAGTGTAAGAGTACTTATGCAGTTGGTCTTGTGTTGCTCACAATCTGGTTTATCATAAGTGCATTGGCTTAGGACATATGTTCTCGTGAGAGGTCGGCATAAGAGCAAGTTCGGAGGAGGAATGAAAAGACTTTTTGTACGAGTGAGCTTTGTAATGGGGTGCTAGACGTGCGCAATATAGTGGTGGGGGCTCGAAGGCAAGATGCAATATGTGGGTAATTGATATCAGTGCACTTGGGTTCTGCGAAGTTATCCCATCATTGGAACTAGAGTTTGTCGACATGAATTAGGTGGTACAATATAATGATTAGACGCGTGAAGAATCTAATCTAAACCTAAGCTCGTTGTAGATGTGACTTTGAAGTATTTCCTATTGACATGGTGGTTAACGGACGAGTTTCAAAAAGGCTCGTAAATCACTCTATATCTGCCAAAGTTAGCGAAATGACAGCCTGCAAAAACGCCTATTCAACAGCACGGTACAGAATTTAAACCTTCATGATACATGTGCTGAATTCGAGCCCGAGCACTGGCCAAGCAAAATCATAGAGCGTGCTCGGTCGCACGTTTCAGGAGTACGACACATCATCCCAACTCAAAGTGACCGGGACCTCTTGAAGCGCTTTCCACTCCTCCGCCGTGATCTTCATCCGTCCACGCACTGAAAGCTGCTGCAACGGATATCCTCGTTCTGCTCGAGCAATGATGCACGATACGAGAGGATAGACCCAGACCTCCTTCTTCCAGACGGAGGACAGAACAAGGTGTGTTATCTGCGGAACGAGAATGTCTTCAGATGGGTCATTGGCCGGGTGTAATGCGTCAATGGCGCCGAGAAGGGAACCACGACCTATCTCGAGGTGCTGAAGGGATGGGATTTCCGAGAGGAGAACTTCTGTTCTCTCCTTAATGTTGTCGTTCGCGGAGAAGGAATCATCGATAACTGCGCAGATGACAGATTGAACTGGTAAATTATTGAAGAGCTTCGATGAGACATTCACAAAGTTGGATCTGAACACGCTGCGGATGAAGGTAGCGGGACATGACTCGAGGAGAGCAGACAATGCTGCGGGCGCAATCTCCGCCCGATCCGAGCTTGCGTCCAGACCACTGGTAACATGGGCGATGCCCTGCGCAGTGTGCGCTACATCTACTGGCCAGTAAGCGACGCTCACTGTCGTCCTGCAGAAGAGAAGGCAGCCGCTAGCGTGTCTCTCTGACTTGATGTAGAGCGCACTGTGGTATTGAGCGGAGTCCAGCAGGGTGGAGGGGTTGCTAACGGTCATGCCCATGACATGATAACTGCTAAGGATTTCGCGTACCGCGAGAAAGAATGCAGAAACTTCGGTACCCCTGTTTATGCTGTCTATTCCGATGTAGTCGAGAGGCCTTGAGAGGTCGAGTGAGTCGATGAATGCTTTGCAGCAATGGACTGGATCTTCCATGTGGAGACGTAAGAGGCTGGGAAGGGATATTTTGGGCTCTATGGGTTGGCTCTGATATATGGTTGAGGAAAGGGAGAGCTCTTGAAGATTTGTCATTCCTTCCAGGAAACCAGGCAAGTGTCGTCCCAGAGTAAAAAAACCAAGATGCAAGCGTCGCAGCTTGGAACCGTTGAAGATACGGCACCCGGATATGGAGTTATTCACACTCCGGTGAGGGCCGGCGCGGAAATGCGTGAGGCTGAGAGACTCCAACAAGATATCCTGCCGAGGAGGGTCATGCCGCGCGTCAAGCTCGCCAAGTAGAGACATGAAAGACTTAGAGTAGCCTCGTAGAACCACCTCCTTCGCGTAGCCAAGATGCTGTATCAAGTTACTCTCGTCTCCAGCCTTTTTCGACGAGAACGAGAGTGACAAACGGGCGCCTGCAGAGCGCGCTATCATCGCCTCCGTTAGTCGTTTACCACGACGTCCCGGGGCCATCACTATGGAGGACCACAGTCTAGGGTGCTCCAATGCTACGGAACGCCAGTGGCGGCATACGTGCGTGACTCGGATCCAGCTTAGGCAGCGGTGCTTGCACACGTGGAACTGCCAGGCAAGACCGTCGTGCGCATGGGCGTATGAGACGCACTCCTCAAAGATGATCATGAGGAGTTCAGCAGGTAGCGAAAGAGGTGCCATGTCTTTTAGTGAGAGCTGAGGGCCAATGGTGGTCAAGGTAAGCTCAAAGGTGGAATGAAGACACTTACGTATGCGTGCGATCGTATGGTGGTGGAAGTCGGAAAACAAGATGCGATGTGCGGGAAATTGATCCCAGTGCTATCCCATCATTGGATCCCGGATTTGTCAACATGAATTGGGTAGTAACTCGCAAGACACGAAAAGTATTGAATGTGAGGCTGATTTCTTCGTCAAGCCATTATAGATGTTACTTCGAGGCACTTCCTAACTAAACGATGCAGGATGAGTGCCGATTGAGCTCATAAACAATTATGGGACGCACTTCTAAAGCAACAATCGCGTAAAAATCCATAAAGATGCGTGCCGTCATGCCATCTTACTACAACCAAACAAATATAATATCCTCCTCATACACTCGCCCGCATCCTCGACAGCCCCAGCCGAAGTCCCTCAAGGTCATCCGAAATGCGCCCCAGATCGCCCATGAGCATCGCATACCGCTCGTCCATGTGCGCGAACCGGTCGTCCTCGCTGGACGTGCGTCTCGCCTTGGTCTGTGAATGGTCGACGACGACGTCACCGTCACTTCTTGAGCGAGGATAAGCGGCGTGCACGGCACCGGTGCTTCGTTGGCGATCGATGCGACTGGGTGGATGATGTGTAGGAGCGTCCATAGGATCTTGGCCTCGCCGCTGTCTGTGAACGGAACTATGTGCCCGAATCGTATCGTCTTCGTCGCGGTCGCTCATTTTCCCTGCGCTCGTATCCGCCTCCCGCATCTTACCCTTCGCCCGCTCCGTCTTGACGGCCTTCTCTGCAGGCCGTATGCGATCTTCGGTAACTTCGGTGCAATGGTCGTCGCGCGTCTCCGACGTCGCTTGGGGCTCAAACGTGAGATCTCCACTCAAATCGCCAGCCAAAGTTCCTCCTACGTCCCCAATTCCATTCCCCTCCCTTGCCTCATGCCCCCTAGCATTCTCCGGTGCGCTCGGCGGGACAGCCAAAAATTGCGATCCCGAGCCCGACCTCGCCCTACCGCCCATAGTCGGCCCAGCACTCGCAGCAAGCCGCGACCCCGACGAGCTAGCCAAGGAAACACCCGAGTTAAGCATCGCACTCGGCGTCGCACTCCTCGCTCCCCGGCCCATCGTCGACGTCACCGAGGGCGTCGCGCTCCGCAGACCGCCGCTAAGCGTCGACATCGCGCTGCTCGGCCGCGGGCTCGGCGACGGACTCGGCGGGCCCTCGCTCTCGCTCGTCTCCGACTCCGATTCGCCGCCGCGTTCACCGCCTCCTCCATCTCCCCCCGAGACCCGCGAGCCCGCCCAGTCCGTATCCATACGCATCAGGCAGCGACAGCGACCGCGTGGACGAGTCCGTCGTACCACTCGCGTTCACCGCTATCCTCCCTGCCATTGCACCCGCTGCCGACGCGGTAAAAATGGGCGCCAAATTGCGCGACGGCGCCCGCTCCCGCTCCGGCGGGGCGAAGCGCACCGTGTTACCCGCCGACGCCGACACCACTCTCCCGCCCCCGCTCGCAGGGCGCAGTGCACTCCTCGGGAGCAGCGCCGGCACTGCGACAGCAGACGACGACGCAGATCCCGAGCCCGACCGCTCCCGTGCCTCCCGCCCCCGCCCTCGCGTCCGTGCGCGCACGACCGAATCAAGGATCCTGGGCTTGCGCCCGCTCGCGAGCACCTTCTTGCGCGCGCTCATGCCGACGCAGTCCACGAGCTGGCGCATCGCCTCGCGGTCGCTCACCTCGCGCCGCTGTGCAGTGCGCCGGAGCGTCGTCGTCGCGGTCCGCGGCGCCGTGCGCGGGAACGTGTTGAACGGCGTGCGCACGGGCGTGCGGAAGAGCGACGACGGGGAGGCCGGGTCTGCGCCGGCGCCGGCGCTAGGGAATCCGGCGAACGTGCCGTAGCGGGGGACGGCGGATGGGGTCGGTGCGCTGGGGCGTGCGGCGGGGCGCGGGGTGGTGAGCTGGTCGACCCAGGCGGAGTCGCCTTCGGTTTGGTCGGGAGCACGAGGGGCAGCTTGGAATAACGAGGGATCTAGGTCCTGGGCGGACATGCTCCCATCGTGATTGAACGCGTCTGCCATGGGGCCCCAGGAGAAACCTATCCAGGCCTTCTGTCCGCTTGCGTTCTGGCTATTTTGAAGACCTGATAGGCCAGGTGATGAGCCCGAGGAGCGATTGAGGTGCGAAGGCTCAGTGATAATAGACGACTGAAAAAGCGCTGAAAACGCAAATGGCTGGGAAGCGTCTGAACCGGTGCTCCTGTCGAGGTTGGCTGCGAGCACGCCAGTGCCGTTGGGCGCAAAGTATGTGAATTCTGGAACGAGAAGGTCGTCTGGTGCAGAATCTGATACAGCGTTGTCAAAGTTAGCTCGGCTTTGTCTCCTTGCATAATGATACACGTTTGACATACCGTACTCCAAAGTAGCCCAGTTGGTATCTTCGAAGAATGGATGTTCAGATATCTCCAAGACGCTATGGCGTCCAAGCCGGATTTCGGGATGCGTCAAGAGCCTACACGGGAGTGTTCAGCGTGGGGGCGGCAGGATGCAGCGACACTCAGTCTAGCTCACCTTCGAATGAGATCCTGCAGCCCAGCAGAAACGTCGATAGCCCGATTGAACCTCAGACTGGTCTGCCAAGAACGACACGTCAGTGCCACCAATCTCGCTGCGGGCACGAGGCATGCTCACCTCATGGTCCATGATCCGCAGATACGTCGTCTTCACGTCGCTCGCAAAGAACGGCGCGACACCATACACCATCTCATACAGCATCGCGCCCATACTCCACCAGTCCGTCTCGCACCCATACCCTAGGCCCTCACCGCCTCCACCCCTGTCCCCGTTACCTTTCCGTCGTCCTTTCTTCCTCCCCACCGTCCGGCTTGCGTCCCACGTGTCCTCGCGCTCATGCTCGACACTGCTCTCGTCCTCGTACGCCCGCGAGCCCTCATCCTCGTCATCGGATACTTCAAGCGCAAGCAGCGCCTCTTCGTACGACTGCAGGATCTCGGGCGATATGTAGTCGCACGTCCCGCAGGGCACCATGCAGTATTGCTTCGGGATGAAGCGCGTCCCGTGCGGATCGGGCGGGAGCAGCGGCGCGGCGGAGCCGAAGTCGATGAGCTGGAGGTGGCGCGAGGCCGTGAGGACGAAGTTGTGCGGCTTGATGTCCCTGTGTTGCCGTGTGAGATCAGTTTCTAAAGACCGACCAACCATCCATCGCAAAGAACAAGAAAAGACAATGAAAAAGGAGATTTCACGACGAACAAAGCTCGCCAAACCACAGCCAAGCCCACACAGGAACGACAGGACGAGAAGCAAGGAACACGCACCGATGCGCAAACCCCTGCGCGTGGCACCAGTCGATCGCGCACACCATCTGCGGCGCCCACCACTTGACGTCGCGCTCGCCCACGCGCATGTCCGCCGGGCTGCTCTCGAGCACGTCCCAGAGCGTGCCGCCCGCGAGGTAGTCCATGACGAGCCGGAGGTGCGTCGGCGTCTGGTACGCGCACAACAGGTGTGGCGCCCACGAGGCGCGCGTCGCGCGGGCGGCGAGGAGCAGGTCGCGCTCGTACTGTGGGCTGCATTGCTAGGGAGATCGGGTGACCGGGTGTTAGCAATGCGATAGACGGTAGCAGGACAAGGATGGGATGGGTGGAGGTTAAAGTGACAAGAACAAAGTAAATGTCTAAAAAGCAAGCGGGGGAAGGGAACAAAAGGGGAGACCAACACACACACCTCCCTATGTCTCGCCACAAAGATCTTCTCGACCGACTTGCGCACATACACCCGCCCGTCGAGCGCACAGCTCACGACGTCCACGACGCCAAACTGGCCCGCCTCGAGCGTGCCCAACACGCTCAGATCCTGGTCGCCGAACCGCAGCGCGTCCACCTCGGCCGTCTTCGCTGTGCGCGCCAAAGCAACCGTGGATGAGCACAATGCATACAAGATATCACAACGGATGTGATATTAAAGAACGCGGGCGCGTCAATGCGGCGCACGACGGGTGCCATGGCCACTCGCTTGTTCGCGCTCGCAGCACACGCGAGGAATGAACGCGAGGAATGGCAGACAACGCAGAACGAAAACGAAGCGAGCCACTCACACGTCCTCCCAATAACACTCGACCCATGGCTGAGCCTATCGAGCACAACGCCCTCCGCGCACTCGCGCTCCACCTCCGCCTCCGCCTCTCTTTCTCTCTCCCTCTCTCGCATCTCCGAGTCATCGCACATTTCCTTCGAGCTCGAATTCGACGTGCTGTTGCGCAACGCGACATTGGCATTGCCAGGCAGCTGGACACCGAGAAGCCTGGCGAGCTGGATCTTGCGGCGGGGCCATGGTAGAGACATGCATCAGGTTGTGGGTCGCGGTCGCGGCTGCACTTGCGGTGGGTGCGTCGGTGTGTCGGTGCGTCGTAGGGCTCGAGCTCGCGATTGCGTAAAAATCCGTAGGGCAAGACAACTCTATCGACGTCTGACGGCTTTGCGTGAGGCTACAAATTCAAAAGTGTGAGCACAGTGCAGGTGGGATACAATAGCCTTGATAGATAGGTAGATGACAGATATCAAGATGCGATGGGCGTTATAAACAAGACACGGTGGAAGAGCGCACAGACAAGAAAGAAAGACAGAAAGAACAAAAAAACAAGTTCAAGTTGTGAAGTCGGGGTGCGGTGAGACGGGGCGACCGGGTCACGTCACGATCCAGCTGGCGAAGTCGGATCACTCCTCCGAGGTCCCTTACAACATATTCCGCCCAGACGCTCGTTCGCTACATTTAATCCCAAGGCGTCATTGCAACGTCCAGATCCAACACAAAACAAAAAGAGACGCAGAAAATAGAGTATTGTAACGCAACAAGCCAAACATCTACATTATAACCTCCTCAATGCATACGCAACAAAACCATCCTCAGTCACATCTAGAAATGGATCGGCTTCTGGTATGCAGCCATCGCAGCCTCCTTGAACGCCTCGCTGAGCGTGGGCTGAAAACACATTGTTAGCCTCGAGTTCCAACTTCAAACAAACAGAAAGAGAAAAAACATACATGAGCATGCGTCGTCCTCGCAACATCCTCCGAACTCGCCCCATACTCCATCGCCAACACCCCCTCCGAAATCATCTCGCCCGCATTCGGCCCAATAATATGCACCCCCAAAATCCGATCCGTCTCCTTCTCGCTCAAAAACTTGACGAACCCCTCCGTGTCCATGTTCGTCTTCGCCCGCGAGTTCGCCGCGAACGGGAACTTGCCCACGCTGTACTTCACCCCCGCCTCCTTGAGCTCCTGCTCCGTCTTCCCCACCCACGCCACCTCCGGGTGCGTGTACACCACCGACGGGATCGCCCCGTAGTTCACGTGCCCGTGTCCAGCGTGGATGTGCTCGATGGCCGCGATGCCTTCTTCCTCCGCCTTGTGCGCGAGCATGGGCCCGAATGTGACGTCGCCGATGCACTTGATGTTCTTCACGGACGTGTTAAACGCGTCGTCGATGACGATGCGCCCGCGGTTGTCTTTCTCGATACCGACGGCCTCGAGGTTCAGGCCGTCGGTGTATGGGCGGCGGCCAACGGCGACGAGGACGACGTCAGCTTCAAGCTATATCAAAGGTCAGCTCAAACTCTGGCTTTTCCTCACGAAACACACACCTCGTCGGTCTTGCCGTCCTTGGCAGCCTCGGTCTTGATAACAACCTTGCCGTCTTTCTTCTCAGCAGACAAAACCTTGGTGTTCAGCTTAAACTTGATCCCCTGCTTGCCCAAAATCTTCTGGAACTGCTTCCTACACGCCCATCCCCGCATCAGCACCGCATCATCCCCATCCAAAAGAAGATAAAAAACCACTCACGCAACCTCCTCATCGATCCCCTGCCCCCCAATCCCACCTAGGAACTCCACAACCGTCACCTCCGACCCCAACCGACTCCACACACTCCCCATCTCCAGCCCAATAATCCCCCCTCCAATCACCACCATCTTCTTCGGCACCTCCTTCAGCTCCAGCGCGCCCGTCGAGCTCACAATCTGCTGCTCGTCAATTTCAATCCCGCCGCCCGGGAACGGCGTGACCTCGGACCCGGTGGCAATGACAACGTTCTTCGCCTCGACCTCGGCCGAGCCGCCGTCGTTGAGCTGCACGGAGATGCGCGTGGGCGAGACGAAGGAGGCGGTGCCTTTGATGTAGTCGACCTTGTTCTGCTTGAAGAGCGTCTCGATGCCCTTGGTGAGTCCGACGACGGACTGGTCCTTGGCCTTGAGCATTTGGGGGAGGTTGAGCTGGATGTCGCCGACTGTGGGTTTGGGTTGGGTTAGTACGTCATGTCTTCGGTAATGGTTCTGAGGGGCCACGGGGGAGAGGCGGGGGCCCACGCACCGTCAATACCGCGTCGTTGGAGATCGTGCTGCGTCTGGTGATAGATATGCGAGTTGTTGAGCATGGCCTTGGACGGGATACAGCCAACGTTCAGACACGTTCCACCAAGCGAACCACGCTTCTCAATACACGCCGTCTATTCATCCCGAAACGCACAAAAATCCACCTTTCGTCAGCACTGGGCACTATGCGCACGAAAAACAAGATCCGCGCACCTTGAGACCGAGCTGGGCTGCCTTGATAGCAGCGACGTAACCGCCGGGGCCTGCGAAAGCAATCAGTGCGCGGAGCGGTGAGAATGCAGCGAGACAACTCACCGCCACCGATGATAACAGCATCATAGGGCCCCGACTCGGTCGCGAGCCCGCGGGATGCAGCAGCCTGGCCTGCGCGACGGAGCGAACGTGCAACAGTCTAACCAACCACCGCCTCGTCAGCTCATTCCCTACCAAACCCAGTCAGAACGAGGGTAACTCACGCGAGTGGATGCTCTCTGCACAGTCAACATAGCGAGAAACAGCGAAGAGGGACAAAGAAACAGGAAGAGAAAGGTGTGGTGTTTGTCAGGAAGACGGAGGACACGCTGACCACTCAAATTCTCTTCCCTCTGACGTTTTTCGGACGGACTCGGCAGACACCACGTGACTCCGCCGGCCGCCTCGGCGTGGATGCAATTCCCGGCGCGCTCTTGCCGCCCGTCTGGGGCTTCCTCGTTATTGGTTTGTCATGCACGGAACACCATAGTGCCTTTGAGATCCCACACAAGCCAGGCCGATGCACGTATGATAAACCCGACTACATACTCACACACTCCATTCTAATATCCATGATGACCTATACCACTTCACTTCCCTTGAAACCTCACCCCCTCCTCCGCCTCCAACCTACCAAACTCAATGTACCCGCCAAACCAGCCCGCGCGCTCCGAGCCCACCAGCGCCGCGGTCGCCCGTGCCTCCTTCTCCGGCACCTTCTGCGTCGACACGCCCCGCGCCGCGGCTGCCGCGTCCGCGAGCATCTGCACCCTGCACGAGCGCTCCATCGCGTGGAAGAAGTACACGGCGGATTCGATCGAGCGGCCGACGGTTATGATCCCATGGTTCTGTCATTTTTGTCAGGAAAATAGGCGTCAGCGAGGGTATGGTGTGCGGTGCGATAAACAGGCGCAGACCTGGAGGATGGCAGCCTGAATTGATGAACTATAGTGAGTAATGCAAAGAGATGTGAGGGTGGAATTTTCGTGCAAACCTTGTTCCCACCAAGCGCCTGAGCAATGCTCGCCGCCTCCTTCTGCGCGCCCACAACGCCATCATATTGCTTGAACACCACATGATCCTGCACGCAAAATCGCAATCAACAATCCATCCGCTGTCATGACACAAAAACCCACCTCAAAAAACGCCAAACTATCCTGCGTAATCGGATCAAGCGGTAACCCCAGCGTCCCGTACGCCTTACCGTGCATGCTATGCGAGTGCGCCGCGCACAGCACATCGGGCCGCGCGGCGTGCACCGCGGCGTGGATGAGATATGCGGCCTTGTTCAGGAAGTGGTTCGGCCCGGACTCGGCTGGGAGTACGCTGCCGTGGTGGTCGACGAGCAGGAGATCGGACGGCTGGATGGTCGCGAAGTGTGGGCCCTGGCAGTGCGCAGTGGGATGTCAGGGGCATAGGAAAGTTGGAAGATGGGGGCGTACCCAGGGGTTCACCCAGAAGCAGTCAGGCTTGATTGGGTCCTATCATATCATACACATCAGACGTCACATAGAGTTCAACGAGGGGCTCCGCAGCGTCCTACTCACCCTCGCAGTGATATGCCCCGCCACGCCCTCATCGTACCCCCACTTCGCTGATGAGCGTTGGATCCCGTTAATCTCTCTCACACATCGCATAAGCGCAGCGAAGGAGACGCACCAAACAGCCTGAACGCCTGCGCAAGCCTAAACTTGATCCACTCGCGCTCCTCCTCCTTGCTCGCGAATGACGGCGGGCGGGGCGCGTGCTCCGCGCCAGCCGCGCTCGCTGACTGCGCGCCGACCTCGGCGTCCGTGGCGCGCGCTGGTGCTTGCTGGGTGGACATGATATCGATAGTAGTGGTAGCGGTAGAGGTTGGTGGGGGAAGTAGATGAGTGCAAGGCTCTCCCCTACGATGCTCTCAAGGGTACGGTGTCGGCAGTCGTGCTGCCGGTGGTCATGCGCCCCTCCCAGCTCACGCCGATAGCCGAGACTGTGTAGGTCGAGTTGCAGCTTCGGACGCCGGTGCCAGTATCACATGTGAGGCTGTTCAGCTTGAGAGATGCCGGTGAACGCTGGTGAACATGATCGCATACAGACGCGATACCACGCTATATCAACAAGCAGGTGAGATCGGTGGCTGCTTACTTGCATGATCTATCTGGGTTTTCCAAGTTCTCGAGATTGAGCCCAGCCAAGTTGACTTGAGGGCTATTGACAACAGTACTAGTAAGTAAAGAAGAAAGTCACGCAAAAGCTCGACGCGTTTAACCGCCAGTTTCCCACGCATGTTTCGCTGCAACAGGTAGTGCAACTTTCTGAATCATCGCCAATTTCTGTGAAAGTCAAGAGACTTCAATGCTTAACGCATTCCTTTGACAAATTCCCTCGGCCTTACATATGACACGCCACGGCGCACCAATACTCCGCGACGTCGATTTACCTACACAGATGGCGATCGTGTTTCAAAACCCCGGAACAAGAATTCAACTTCTAGCTTGAAAGCGGCGGATGACGGCTCGGCGCGATATCGAGCGTGCAAACTTCCATTCGCCGCTTCGACCGTTTAAATTGAGCCAGCTGAGCCCTGAGATGCAGCTTCCCAGGAAAGAAAAATGTGATACGATAACTTTGACCTCCAACTTTGATCTCCCGTCTCTACTTACCAGGGTAGCAACCCATATGTATGCTTCACTACCATGCGTCCTGTTACTAGACATACACACTGCCAAAACGTAGGGCAAACGGAGAAGAACAAGAAAATAAACAAACACTCGAACAAGACTTAGAGCCGTGAGAAATCTACTCTTGATCAGTGCTTGTTCACGATGCGTGGTCAATTTCCCACATATCGCATCTTGCCTTCGGACTTCCATCATAAAGTCGTGTTTCGCGGCTCGCCGTAAGTAAGACTCGGTCGCAAGTGAAGTGAGTGCTACTCTGGTTCCGCCATAGAACACGATCTTAATGCTCTGGCGCCAGAAGACATGCGTACTACTGGTATTTCGCTGCCTCCCGAACTCCTCATGATCATTTTCGAGGCGTGCGTCTCCAACGCCCACGCGCACGACGGCTTGACATGGCAGTTCCACATATGCAAGCGTCGCTGCCTGAGCTGGGTCCGAGTCACGCGTGTATGCCGCCAATGGCGTTCCGTCGCGTTGGAGCACCCCAGACTGTGGTCCGCCATAGTGATGACCCCGGGCCGTCGCGATGAACGGTTAACCGAGGCGATGATAGCGCGCTCTGCAGGCACTCGTCTCTCACTCTCCATGGGTTCGAACATAACTGGCGACGAGGGAAAGCTTGTACAGAGACTTAGTCATGCGAAGGAGGTTGTTCTGCGAGCCTACCCCAAGTCCCTCGTCTCCCTCCTTGGCGAGCTTGAGACGCAGAGAGACCCTCCCAGAGACGACATCGCATTGGAGTCACTCAGTCTCACGCGGTTCCGCGGACTCCCTGACTGGAGCGACAACAACCACCCGGTTGCCGGATGTCGTATCTTTAATGGCAACAAGCTACGGCGCTTACATCTCAATTCGTTTGCTTTGGGACGACACTTGCCCGGTTTTCTCAAAGGGATGGTAAACCTGCAAGAACTATCCCTTTCCTCTACCATACGTTCCCGGATCGACTCAGGGCCTATCAGACCCAAAGTTGACCTTCCCCGCCTCTCCCGACTCCACATGGAAGAACCGATACACTCATGCAAGGCATTCGTCGACTCGCTTGACCTCTCAGAGCCCCTTGAATACATGGGGCTAGACAGCAGAAACGGACGTCGCGACCCCTCCGCATTCTTCGCCGACGTTCTTGGCATGCTCAACCACCACTGCCTGATGAACACGAGCGCCGACAGCTCATCTGCTATCCCGGAACCTTCGCAGTGGTGTAGCGCGCTTAGCATCAGGTCATTGACACGCCGTGGTTGCACGAAGAATCAGTACTGGTTCAAGACAAATTTGAGCTTTGTTGTCTGGCCAGTAAATCTAGCACCCAGTGTCTCGAAGGCATTCGATATTGTCAAGGGCACGAATTCGTCATGGGACCATCCAGAGATAAAACCTACAGCATTATCTGCAGTCCTCGCATCGAATCCTGCCATCTTCATCCGCAGCATATTCGAGACTACCTTGAACGTCGTTTCGTCTGCGTTTTCATGCTGTTCACTCGTACTTCCCCAATCCGTCGTCTGCGCAGTTATCGACGACATCCCACACGAAGACGTCAATAAAGACAGAGTAACAAATATTCTCTCTGAGATGCCGTTTCTTCGGTCTCTAGAAATCGGCGGTGGCTCTCTTCTCGATGTCATCGCCGCACTGCACCCAGCCAACAACGCCACTGAAGCTGCTCTCGCTCCACGGCTGAGACAACTCGTGTTGTCATCCAACAAGCGGGCAGATGGCTGGTTTGGCCCTCTCGTGTTGTGCCTATCCGCACGCAAAGAAATAGGACATCCGCTTCAGCAGCTGTCATTCCGTGGGCAGGTGAGGATCACGGTGGACGAGCTGCAAGTGCTTCAAGGCATACCGGTCGCTGTGACATGGAACGATTCGTCGGACGCTTGAAACGTGCGTCCGATTATTTCCTACAACTTGACATTCAACTGACGCATCGGATTCTTTCCCCCTAATAATTAAACGTGTAACTATCCCACGCGGGATTCAACGTTCAACTCTCGCCTGATAGAACCTGAGACTCAGCAGTGAGGTAATCTATCCTGAACGCGAAGGTATATAGCAACCGGGTTGGAACGGCCAAATGGATGGTGTTGGCCCGGCTTAGGAGTATTTCGTATTCGTACTACTTATGCAGCGAAACTGGTTACCTAAACGAAATGCGACATCAAGATATGTGGAAGTTGTACGATCTAGTAAATCCGACATTGAATCATCTCGAAGCTTTCCCAGCGCCCAAGTTTGAAAGGCTGAGATCGAGATATTGATGGCGTGTTCTGGATCTTGTGGTACCGAGGTGCCGGCGTAGCACGCATGATTATACCCATATGTCTGATACAGATTAAACAATGGAATTCACTCATGTTATGGTGCACGAGGCGTTGGCGTGCCCTTTCCCAAACTCTGGGGTTGTTGTAGCAATTTACCGGCAGGGGAAATATGGCGAGAAAGGGAAGAATTTTAACGAACAAACACAAATCAACTCGAGCTAAAAAAAAATTGGCGAGATTTACGAGCAACTTCGGGCTCTCCGTCCTAAGCTCCCGTGTATATTCTGGCTACCTATGGAGCCTTTCTCACCCATCAAGCCGACGGTCTTCTTGTATACCTGAGCGGCGTCGCACGTCTCCTCAAGCTTCCCTCAAGCCAATAATCTGATCCAAGGGAGGTTGTCGATCAAAGAATGCGAGCTCTTGACAGAAGTGCCCACTTATCTCCGGTACACGTTTGATTAACATCTATTCCAAGATGTCAAAGACGCGCGAACGTTGAAACTGGCATGCACGACACGAGGCTCGAGCGATTTTCAATTCAAACCTTGGGCTCTGAAGAAGAACCTTGTATGAATTTGCATTGTCCTCAGGTTTTGACGTCGGCAAACACACAGTCCTCACGGCGGTGGATCTAACAGGATCTAGCCCACCAACATATGTGCGTCTTACTCTGCAGCATCTAGAATTGATGTGGAAACAGGGTGTCCTGCTCTGAGAAAACTGTGATTTGGGGTCATGGCTTGCTTCGCATAAATGCTCGGCGGTCGTGCTCGTTCGATCAGATCGTCTTGACTCAGTTTCCCCAGGACACCCTCCAGCTTTTTTCGTCCTCTTCATGACCGCCGTACCATTATTGCCAGGTTCTGCTCTCAACTTCGACCTCTTGCTAGACATCATCTCTCTTGCGGCCAAGCCCGACTTCAGCGCCTTTTCTCGTGGCGAGAACCCGTATGCAGGGCTGGCAAGCCTCTGTGGTATCCACTCAATCCTCCGCAAAGATGCTCTGCGTTTATTCGTTCATACGGTGGTCCTCCCTACACACAGGGAGCTTGTGCTGTTCCAGCAAACGCTGCAAGCCCAGAAAGATCGCGCCATTACGGGACTGTTTCCCAAGCTTGCCTTTAACTACGTAGGAAACGTCCGCAGGATTTTCGTTGGATACCTGCCTATCGCACCCGATCTTGTCTTCTCCTCCCCCTCCACTGATGCCGACGAGAGGCAAGCCCATGACTGGGCCATGTCAAAGGCGAGCACGCTGCTCGACGACTCCGTGCTCGTTCCTGTGCTCCGCGCGGCGCGCGACATAGCGGTCGACGAGACTGCGCTCTCCCTGATGAAGAGGCTCTTTCGCCAGACTGGCACCGAGGATAGTCCCGGGGCGAACACCGATCAGCCTCGTTGGGAGATGAGCTCCTTCTCCATCGTCGGGCCTCTGGCCGACTTGGATTGGGCTTTGTTCAAGAACGATGTGGGACCCGGCTTCTTCATGCCCACGCTTCGTGTCCGCAAGTATCGGGCTGCTTGTTGCCATCACCATGAGGCCATGGACAATGCCAGCGTCTCTCAGCCGGTCGAAGATCCTGATCGCACAAGAAGACCTATGGGGCATCGGACGCAATCTTTGCTCTTGCCGAGCTCCGAAGGGGATTATCGAATCACTATGGAACATATCCAACCTTCAAGTGGCCCACACACGCTCATTAGACGTGCATGCGTTGCAGCGTGGGCTTGCGATGGTAGTCGGCTGGAAGGGGAGATCTTGTCGCTTTGACATGAAAGATATCGAGAGGTAATACAACAATGAGATAGCGCTAGATATCATAGAATTTCGTGATAGCTGAGACGTGCCCTATCTATTGTCAGTAACGTTCATTTTGATGTTATCACGTACATGTTTGCAAACACTACCATAAGACCCAGAGTGATGGACCAGGCGTATGTCCCATAATTACACGTACAGAATCACTATGGAACATACGCTCGGCCTAAAACACCACCCATACCTCGTTGCGACGGAGGAGTGAGAGACAGGAAGGATCTGCAGATGATCGATGAAGAAAGATAAGAAAGTAAGTGAGAAAGAGCCGTGAGAACATGCAGACTGTTTCTGTTGTCCACACTTGATCAGCTTATTTTCCCACACCTTTTTCCTCTTACGCTTTGCAAGCTTTCTTCAAACCGCAGTTTGGAACTCGTTCCTTTGCATTGTATATGGACATGGATAAAAGTTTCCCTCCAACCAGTTGGAACAAGCAAACATCTAGAGGTTACACAATGCGGCGGCCGAATCACGGGCATCAATGAGGCGAAAGCTGCCACTAGCACATGTTGAATCGCACCGCATGCTGAGACGGCAGAATCATACGCAGACATTCCATGGCGTGCACAAGTAATGTGAAATTATCAAGTCTAACTCTCCTAAGCGACACCTAAAGGTCCACTGTACTGTTTTCTTGCATCACGCCAACGCCTGACAACAATGCGCCTGACTCGGGGTTCAAACGTTCATCAGCAAGCACTTTTTACTAGTGCCATGGGTCGAGGCTCATAGCAAGATGCTACTCGTAATGTCTGGCGGAAATATGGAAGCTAAGGTCCTTCATTCTCGCCAGAAGATCGACATGGAGGTGTTCGGCGTTCGAGACAAAGCTCGGAGGTCAATATTTCAATGCTTGGTCACTCTGGCTTCCTAGACTCGGCACGTCTCCTTCGTCTGACTACATTCATGTCTGTTATGTTAAGACTCTCAGGAAGCTACATATCAGCCCCTCACCGATTTTCACCGTGATTCGCGCCTTTCTTATCGCATCTTTGGCGCCTTGGACCTCATTATGTTGACAGGATTGGGATATAAACGAGTTACCGCCATTCGCGTGCATGCCTTCACGTTGTCTCAGGTGGCAGCAGTCCGCATACAGGACCGCTTCGCCTGTGTATAACATATGTGTGCATCAAATCGCTAACTTCCGCCCGTCCGCATGCGTTAAAATAGGCTTAAAGTTCTCTGTGAGAACGCGATGCAACTAATATTCGTAGGAAATGACCCGTTGTACCCATACTCAAGATCCTTATTTCCATTCCCGTTTTATATATCGCTGAACAACGGGCCCACGAACGGGCTATGTGTCAGAGGCATATGCACCGGAGTAACCTTGCTCCGGTACTCCGATCAACACGCAACTAAGGAACCTATGAGCCCATGTCCATATATCTCAGGCTATCTATTCTTACGTTTCTCCGCCAGCCTCCGTGTCAACTACATTATTGCCGGGAAATGGCAAATATAGCCCAGAAGAAAATAAACGAATATTTCTACTATTGCTACTACTAAAGGAATTATGAGGTGGCGCTCGCGCTGGGCAAGAAAATCTATAAACGAAGTGGGGCACCCGACTCCGAAGAACATAGACTATCCTAGTGAGCAAAGGCAGCAAACGCCCTTCAACCGTCGTATCATTTCCAAGTCAATGAGCCAATTTGTTTTACTTCTCAGGCTACTCAAAAAGCCCGTCCATCTCTGGGAGCGGATTGATACTGTACCTGACCACTGAACGTTTGAACGCTTAGCGATGCGACCGGTGGCGGCGGATCATAGTCAAAGATAGCGCGACCTAGGACAGCTCCAGAATACCGGTTGCGTGATACACAGCAAGTCAAGGTCACCTCAAAAACTCAACGATGTTTCACCAGGTGAATATCACCCTGTGCATCTTCTTTTATCCCGTTCAGCTGAGTTCAAGGCCTCTTGCCGCCATGCATCATGCGTTGCTCATCCAAGAACTCATTGAAATCGTCTTCCAACATGTGGAAGATGGAAGAGCTTTATCGAGGCTCGCGAGGGTATGCCAGGGGTTCAAAGAGCCTGCGCTCGATGCTCTCTACGCCAATGGCACCTTGTCTCTCTTGGAAATTCTCAGGTGTCTCCCGCGCGATTTATGGTGTTTCATTAACAAAACGGCCAATGACGGTCAAGCTCTGGCGAGTCCAAATATGCTAACTCAATCTTGGCTCGGCGCTGACATGCTTTGTGCGTATAGACCTTTACGCGCGTAATGACGCCGAGAGACTGGGAGATCCTTTACTCATATACTCGTCGAGTCAAGAAAGTTGTCGTGTACGCATGGGATACGGATGAAAGTACAACTATATTACACTCTCGTGTCTACCGTGCCCTCTCAGACTGCCCGCTTTCCAACCTCTTTCCAAAACTGCACACCATCCGCGTGGAAGGCGACACGACAGGCTACAACCGACACTACCGCTACCTTATGACACAGGGTCTTCTACTCTCTCCCAATCTGCGTGCGATTCATGTTGACATCATGATGTTAAATCGCTTCCTTTCAGATGTACCTTTGATCACCGAGCTCTGCCCAAACGTCGAATCGTTCTCTTGTAGAAACTACGACAATCAACAACGGCCGCCACGTAACGGAGAGCCAGACTTGCTGACAAGGACGCTATGTCAGTGGGAATGTATACGCAGCGTCGACTGTGGCACAGTAAGCGCCGAAATTCTATCCCATATGGTAAAATCGCCGTCGCCGTCCCTAGACCACCTCTCCGTGCCAGTCAATACAGAAGAGCCGTGGCTTGCGGGGCATTATGGGATCCACGAGATCAAGCAACTGTCTCTCATCGTTGATGGCATTGATACTTTCCCGCGAGCACTTAGAGCGCTGCTTCTTAATGGAAATAGCACAACACAATCCTCGTCCCTTTCAGAAAGTCAAGCTGCTCATCTGCACACTCTCGATGTTCTTTTTGATCAGCACATGAGACCATGCGCCATAGAACCTCCGCCGCGCCCCCCGTTCTTAATATTCAAGTCCCTCGCGGAATGCGTGTCACATGCTTGTCTGACCAGTATCAAGCTCTCAGAATCTAAATCGTCGGTAATCAAACTTCCAATCAACAGTCGCTTCGACAAGGACGCGCTGTCTCCACTCTGCGCCTTTTCTATGTTAACGGAACTCATCATTGATCTTAATCGGCATCCTATCGTGTTAGAAGACTTCGATGGCAATGGAGAATCCGATGCCAGGGATGGTGGTTCGGATGAAGCGCTTGCTGCTCTTGTGTCGTACTGGCCACGCCTCGAACAACTGAAGCTGAAAAAACTGCAACGCCCAGCGTCACTCGCGGGTCTATTCGCCGTTCTCACTTCGTGCCCTCGCCTCACCTATCTCAATATGAGGATCTGTGTGGACCCACGCCAGGTTAACATAGCGGCTGAGTCCATGTCCGGAGCTAATTCTGCTGGCCCAACCAAGGGCTCAGCATTTACACCGCTCCCGCGTAATCCATGCATTACCTGGTTGGACCTTACTCATACCTCGGAACGTCTCCAAGATATCAAACCGCTTGCAAGGGTGCTGTATCACGTTGTGCCTTCTTTGTGCTCATGTGGTCGGAGTGACTCGTTCGTCTCCTTAGATCCGAAGTTCAAAGATAGTAATATTTCAGGACGAAGAATCAGCATGGCAGCTAGTGTCGCGGGGTGGCTTCCAGCTTGGAGCCAAGCTGACTTCAGGGGCAATACGTCCGCAAAATGGAACAAAAAAATTCTGGACCGTCGTACTTGAAAAGATGAAGGGCCTGATGACGCTGGACGAGAATGAATTTGCTACGATGAGGATGCACACTACAAATTATCATCGCCCCCATCGACGTCCGCATGAAACATTAAGGACCGGGCGAGACCGGCATCACATCATCGTAATTTAGAGAAGTATATCCACACAGTAAACTTACAATCCCTTGCGAATCATTCGCTGAGATGAATCGATATCCTTTTGCATACAGCCACTTTTCGAAGAATGAATTGAACTTGTATTTTCGTTCTGGAATCCGTGGAAAAAATGTATGGATGCTTGAGGCAAACTAATTAAAAGTGGTGACTGGTTTCTCTTGTGTTATATTTTCAGAAACTTCAGAGATACAAAATCAAGCTGCCGTACCTTTCACTGTGCCGTTGAGCCGTACTATTGTATTTGAACTTAAATGGAGAACATCGAGCACCTATAGTACCCGCCATGCTTTGAACACGATGCGAAGCCATCCTACAGGCTTGTAAAACGTAAGGAGGAAATGATACAACTTCTCTGAACTGTGACTGACTTTTCTTACTACTCTAGTCGCTAACGAGGCCTACGCTCGCAGAATGTATGTGAATAGCGCACGAATAATGGATTAGATAGAAAATGAAACGTAAATCGACACCCAGAGGACGTGGAGACGCGTACAAGGTCTAGAGCACAACGCATTATTTCAACCAAATGGCAAGGTCGGTGCTCAGCTGGTGCGCAGGGTTCGGTATCGTGAATTCGGTCGCAGATATTGTGGCGCAGCGCTCAGCCGTAACATTCGGTCACCTGCCACGCGGACCCAACGATCGCGCTGCGCTCCTAAATGACACAAGGTCGGTTGGAACATCATATAAGTTGGATTGGATTGGATTCAAGTAACATGTGGGTCTTGCTGTTTTTGAGTCTATGGTGGGCGTCTGCCTGTATTAAGTAGAGTCGCTGTTACCCTATCCACTGTACTGGATATGGCCCGCGCTTTCGTGCGCTTGATACGCATAACACGACGTTTTATATGACGTACGAGTGCTTAATCTGACCTTCGGAGCCTAGTGACAAACGCGAGCAGCTCGACGAGGTTACCTCGCTTCACTGGCACCAACCAAGATACATTATCTCTCGGAGACATAACTCTATGGTCGGGAAGACAGTACGGCGGGACAACTTTCATCTTTGCAATCATGGCAATGAGACCAAGTGGCGGAGAACGCGTGTCAATAAATCAAGAGTCCTATACACATGGCGGATATAAACGTCGATAATTACGGGTCCGTATCATCACAGCAAGAATCAGAATTACGCATTACAACAACGTCGAACCTGCACCCGACCCAGCTTCCCCGGTTACTTCCCAATCCCCTTCTCCTCCAAAAACTTCTCCGTCGTCTCCCACAGCTCCCTCCCCCTCCCCTCGTCAGCCGCAACATCCGTCACATCCGCCTTCTTCGCGACAGGCAACAAATACGCGCCCTTCCACTCATCCCTGTTCTCCGCCGTGATCTCGGGCGACACGGCCGCGAAGACAGGGTTATACGCGCCCTCATCGGCGGAGACGAACCACGGATAGACAAGCGCGTCGACGACGTGTCGGAACGGCTTCAGCGGCGGTTTTCCCGAGAAGGTGTTCACCATGCCCGGGTCGACGCCGATGACGAGGATGCTCGATGCGCCTGGCTCGGGGTCGGAGGAGAGTCGCCGCTGGAGCTCTTTGAACCAGAGGGTGTCCATGAGTTTTGTGAAGCCTGGTAAACCGGGATGAGTGTCAGCTACGAATATGAGCGGGGCCGCAGGGAGAGCGTACAGTAGCGACCGAAGCTGGGGAACATGTAGTTCTTGCATTCTTCGTTGAAGTCTTCGGCGGATTTAAAGTTTGGTTCGCCTTTGACTTTACGGTGTGCTTCTGATGCGACCTTTATCGGATTTTACGCGTCAATACGCGTCATGTAATCGGAATGGATGGCTCCCACAATAACAATGCGGACATCAGAGCCTGGCTCGGCGGCAGTCTTCTTGAGGAGGGGGAGAAGTGTGCGTGTGAAGACGAAGGGGCTGACATAGCTGCAGGATGATGGGTATGAGACAGCTGCCAATGCCGCATGATTGAAAGACGACGTACTTGACCATTGCAAGATCTTGGATGCCTAGAAGGTGATAGAGTCAGCACGATCGAGACCCAGGACAAGAACGAGCATGCTCACCGTCTACGCTCTTGGCGTACTTCTCAATCTGCCTGTTCGAAGAAGGAAATACAGCGGTCAAATGGGGAAACCAAGGATTCGCAGCGTTGAAACTCACAAAGCCGCATTGTTGACTGGATGGTCATCATGTCATAAGCTTCTTGTAACCAAAAAGCAGCAAGGGGAGGTCACATACTGAGTGCGTCAAGCCTCTGCTCCTTCTGCAAAAAGTCCTCTGCAGCCTTCTTCGCGTCACGCGGGTCGCTTAGATCAAGCTTGAGATGTACAATCTCGCCAGCTCCCTCCTTAGCCTCCTGCTTGAATGCGTCGATGGCAGCCTTGGCCTTGTCTTCGCTCCGTGCTCCCATGTATACCTTCGCGCCGCGCCGCGCCAGATGCTTTGCGGCGCCGTAGCCAATTCCAGCGCTGTAGTATACACGGCTCAGTCTCCAGCCATCATACAGGAAGAGAAGACACGTACTTTCCGCCGGTAACGAGGATGACTTTGCCCGAGAGGCTGGGCAGGTCGTTCTCGGGGTTGAACCTCTGTCTAGGGAAAACCATTCTTGCTTCGCGTTTGCTTGTTGCAGGAGTGTGTGGCTGAGTGTGCTCTTGGTGAACTAGGGTGAGATGATGATGGTAGAAGTGAAAGAATGGTTGGCGACGTGGTTCATATGGGAAGGAGGGGGGCGAAGGGGCGCGGGTACGTCAGAAGGCGCGTCCTATGACATCGTGGTGTGTATTGTCAAAGGCACCGAGGCGTTAGCGCTGCCAACAGAGGCCGACGGAGCACTCCACTCATCGGGAGCACTTAAGCGAATGGTGATAGCAGAACAGGCCATTGTAACTGTCCCTGTTACGAGCCGACCTTAGCTCAGTTGGAAGAGCGCGAGACTGTAATGGATACCTTGGCATCTTGAGGTCGCCTGTTCGAGCCAGGCAGGTCGGATATGTTTTTCTCATGTCTCAGGCGCACGTTCAAACACGAACGCTGCTTTTGCTCTGATAATGATAGTTCACAACTACAATTATCAGATCAGAAGGTGATCTACGTGTAGAATGACGATTACGTTGTTTTCTTTTCGTCCATGACACATTCAACGAGCCTTGAAACATATCTAGTTCTATGACAAATGGCAATCTACTGCTACGTGAAAGTGGTTAGCCAGTAAAGCACACAAATGCAACCTCCACGCCCAAATGCTGAACTCCTGTCTAGTTGCTCTGATAATGATAGTTCGATGGAAGCGTCCAGGCAGCAGCCTGAACTCTCGTCATGTTGAAAGTGCGCCGGTAAAATCGAGATCCAGATTCCACCATCTCCTCCAGTGGAGCGCAAGTCAGCGGCGCATGACAAAGTCAAGAGGTTACAAGCGCCGGAGACCAGCGCCGAAGTCGCCTCGCCAGTCGCGAACGTGGTCCACGCCACTCCGCAAGGAACACCGATCGTTGTCAGGAAGCGAGTCTGCCAAACAGGTAGAGCATTGCCGACCACTGCGTTGACCTCGTTGATGACAAAGAGACTGCGAGCGTCGACGGCGATGTCCGTGACTGAGAGGAGGAACGGGGCGAAGACGTGATAGTCGATGGTGCCGTCGGCCTCGTCGGAAGAGTGCCAGTACAGCGCGTCCGTGTCCGAGTCCCGGTCTGGAAACATGAGCCCGGGGTTGACGGGCAGGTGGCCGATGTACAGGCGGCGCGTGCGCGGAAGGGGGCCGCGGTGAGTCGAGATGGCGGCGCAGAGTTTGGCGGCGCGTCGTTGCGTTGGGAGGACGACGGTGTTGTACAGCTGCGGGAGGGTGCGCACGTAGTGGTGTTTGGAGAGGCGCGCGATGGCTAGGGTGTCAGCGTATGGGCTTTTGTGGGCTGGGAGCCGTCCGAAAGTGGGGGCGGCAGCGATCTCGAACACGCTTTCGACAGCCGTGTCGGGCAGCCTGGAGCAGAGAGCCAGCAGCTGGGTGTTGTTGAGGACCGGGAGAGTCGCCATGGGTCGAACACGCAAGAAGGAGAGGTGCCACTCGGGGGAAGAAGCGCAGATTACGGATACGTGCAGTGGACGGGTTATATAGACATTGTCGGAGGCGCGTGCGCAGCCTCAAACACAACCCTGAGCCGTCAAAAGCTCGCTCGTGTGTCAAGTTACGAGAAGTCGGGGCCGGGCGTCAATCAAGGGAGATCGAGGCCTGGTGCGAGGAGTACACGTTTCGGTTCCCCTTCAGGTAGCTGTCGTCGGTCCTGCACACGATGTTGGAGGGTTCACGACTTACGAAGACCATGATTTTGGAAAGAGGGGCCCGTTCGACGGGCGTCGACAACAAAGCAGGGGTCCGTTGCCGCAAGCAGCCTACAAAGGCCATCCAGCGATGTATGGACCGCGCATCCTTCGGCTCGGGGTTTCAAACCTTGCGCCGTGACCAGAGTCTGCAGCCATCGTTGATCGAATGATAGCCGTGGTGGAGGAGAACCCGATTATGAGCAAGCTGCGCGCGCCAGCTTTGTCCCCACCGGGGCCAGACCCGGGGCGTTCAATGTAGTGCGCGGAAGACAACTGGCCCATTGTTGTTGACAGCAGACATGGAAGCTTCGAAGTTCCTAAAACGCGCCGATCAGCACCCGTTCCTGAGATGGCTGTGAAGAGGGCCTGCCCTAGAAATTCGATGTCAGCAGAGGTTCGCCGCTGATACACATGTCTTAGCCTGCAATATCAAACACATGCCGGCCTGTCGGAGCACAGGAAAGTGAACGTGTCCTTTGGAAAGAAACAACCACTAGAGCAATTAAGAGTGGATGCAGCGTTCGGGTGGGGAAGTCAACAAGCGTTCGGGGGATGATGGTAAGATGTTAGCCTGGCTATATGCTGTCGATGAGTCGCGTCGCGGCGTCGGACGGTCGGAGCGTGACGCGTCTGCACGGCCGTCATACAACCACGGTGATGTATAAGCATGCCCCAGTCCTCCCCACGTCGCCCTCCAACACCCTGCACTCAGCTCCTTGAGTATCCCAATCTTTCCTTTCCTTCACCTTGAGCGCGACAGACACCTTCGAACCAGACAACATGCTCCGACACGTCCGACGTCTGGCGACCTCAGCCACCGGCGCGCTCCCAGACCTAGTCGGCACCGCACCCTCGCACCGGTCCTACATCTTCCTGCACACACCACAGCCACCGTCAGAGTACCCGGCCAGGTACGCGACGCCGCTGCAGCGCGCGCTGCTCCTGCGCACCGTGAAGTGGGGCGGGTCCGTCAACTTCTCGTGGTCCCCTGAGCAGCCTGCGTATCCTATTGCGGCTTCAGGAGACCAAGCTTACCATCTTACGGCGTTCTCAAGGAACGGGCGACTGGCGCTCGAGGGCGTGCGGATGGAGAATGTGGAGGAGGTTGCGAAGAGGTTGCAGGAGCATGCTGAGGGCGGTGCGATCGCTGTGAAGAAGGATGAGGACGTGCACCTGTACGTGTGCACGCATGGCTCGAGGGATTGTCGGTGTGGAGATACTGGCGGGGCGGTTGTGCGGGCTCTACAGGAAGAGCTGAAGAGACGGAACGCGCAGGATCCCAATGGTCCTAGCAGTCGCGTGAAGGTTGCGGAGACAGCCCATGTCGGTGGCCACAAGTGCGTGTATTAGCTCATTTCTTCGCCTATATCGCCTAACATCCTGCAGATACGCAGCAAACATCCTCGTATATCCTCATGGCGAATGGTGAGTCTCTCTACCATTAAACGCCTTTTCCCGTCTCACGCATTGCAGGCTTGGATATGTGGAGCCGGAGGATGTTCCTGCTGTGCTTGACGCCGTCTTCAAGCGCCCAACGCGACCTGCGAGCGCGTCAGATCCACCTCTCTGCCCTCCTCATTGGAGAGGTCGGATGGGTCTGGCAAAAGACGAACAGATTGAGCTCTTCCAAGCTACCGCCCAAGCTGCATGAGCGTTCGAACTGCTGACCCTGCATTTCTATATATTTGCACACATTAGATGTAGATGCTATTTTAGAGACCACATCGTAACTTTAGATGTCTCAAGCTTTTCCACCTCGACGTGACCCCGTACGCGTGCCCGAAGGTTGTATCAGATAAAAGAACGGACGGAATTGCGGAGGAATTGCGGGCCGCTAGGTGCCAAGCAGTTCAAAATAGCGACAACACGCAACGACAACGAAGTGATGGACAACTCCTGTCATGATCTCATTCGTCCTTTTCGACCACAGATTTGCCGAACCACTCCCTGCTGACTTTTCTTCTCTCTCACGACCTCGACCCTCGCACGTCGCCTCGGACATGGACAATCCGAAGGGACTCCGGTCTGCGAGGCATCGTAGTCAGCGCTAGGCTCAGGGAGACTGCCCTTCAAGGGCGACAACAGTTGGCAACCTGCGTTGTTGTTGTCCCTGCGTATCACTGTGCGCTGTTTGTAATATATCCACACCTTGCATGTGGTTGTCACCGTTGTGATCGATGGCCTTGCTCGGCCTTGTGATCACCGAGGAACACGAGAGAAGCGGCGCATTCACGGGAGCATCCTGTGTGAAGATGTCCAGTCATCCTTCCTTCGCTCCATCCATTTAAGCCTCATACCCACCAGCACTCACTTCAATCACCCTGTCCTTCTCGGTTCACGTCCTCGACCACTGCTCTCTGAGAGTAAACGAGCTACATTATGGTCAACATTACGATCCTCGCGGGCGGCTACACGTCCTTCATCGCGTCCTACGTGTTCAACACCGACACCGAGACGCTCACGTACCTCAACCAATACCAGACCGGTGACAACCCGTCGTGGATCATCGGCCATCCCACGAACGCGAGCATACTTTAGTACGTCCCACCCAACCATCCTTCATAGGCGCGCAAAGAGGCTGACAGGGCGCAAAGCGCTGCGAACGAGGACACCCCGGGAGCATTGCAATCGTTCGTCGTCGGCGATGACGGCGCTCTCACCACGGTCGACACCATTTACTCTGGCGGCAACGGCCCACCGTACGTCGGCCCGCTGACAACAGGCCAAATCGCCGTAGCAGACGTGCGTCCTCCCGCCTTTCCTTCAATTCACGTTCCCCCCGCCACCACCAGTGATTAACCCTACCTCCTGCCACAACGCAGTACGGCTCCGGCCAAGCGAGCGTGATCGCGACGCAGGCCGACGGGCTGCACTTTGTGAACGGCTCGAACACGATTACGTTCCCGACGAAGGACTCGGGCCCGTACGCGGGCGTCTCGGAGCCGCATATGGCGCTGCAGGTCGGGGAGGAGGTGTTCGTGCCAGACCGCTCGGGCGATACGATCTGGCGTATTGGGCAGGACGGCGACAGCGCCGGGCAGTGGTCGCTGCACGGCCAGATTCAGCACCCGAACGGGACGGGGCCGCGGCACATCCGCGTCGTCGGTGCGTAGCTAAGCTTGGCCTTCCTTGCATGAACGCGACAGGTCACTAACACGGCGCGGGCACAGACAACATGCTTTACACCGTGCACGAGTTCGCGAGCACGCTGACGATGCAGGCGGTTCCCTCCTACCCGAACGGCACCTCGGACATCATCGCCAACGTCTCCATCATCCCGCCCAACCCGCCCTCCGGCTCCTCCTTCGCCGGCGGCGAGCTTCTCGCGCCGCCACCCTCCACCGCGTTCCCGAAACAGTACTTCTACGCGAGCAACCGCAACCTCGGGACGCAGGACCCACGCGGGGACAGCATCGCGATCTTCGAGAACGACAACAACCAGCAGCTGACGCTCGTGCAGCAGGTGTACACCGGGCTGGACCAGATTCGCGGGGTGATGGTCGGGCCGAGCGAGGATGGGGCGGACGCGTATTTTGTTGCGGCGGGCGTGGCGGGGACGGCGGGCGTGAAGGTGTTTAAGCGCACGGACGGGGGTGCGAATATGACGCTTGTGGCGACGGATACGACGTTGCCGACGAGGACGAGCTTTGTGCTTATTCCGCAGGGGAAGTAGTTGTGTGGGCTGGGATCGGGACATTGTGACATTGATTCGGTTTGCAATGCTGGCTATCTAGTATACATGATACGAGTGATATGAAGTTTCATATTATCATTCTGGAACGCTGGTTCTCCGCAAGTTGAGTATCCTGGTAGTCTTATTAAGCTGTATGCGAAGATTCTTCGGGGTCCTGCTCACCAAGCGAATGGCAAGAAATAAGGGACGTGTACAGTGCCTGAGATAATTCGAACGTACCTGCCGGAACCGCAAGATCAAAGGACGCTCCATTTCATTTGAACAGAGGACAACTCTAGCTCCACATCGTCGTACACCTTCCGTTAGGAAATCATCGTTCCCTGTATCAGGCTTTGGCCTGTATCGGTGAGGAATCCACACGAGTCTACGTGAGCCATTCCACAGCCAACCATCGGGGTGAAGGTAAAACGAAGACCATGATACAGTGTCGTATATGGTACCAAGGGGCCCTGTCCGGATAAGCCCAAACCCAGCCAAGGTAACATCCTCGTCCTTCGACTCGAGTATCGATGGCCAGCCTTCATGTGGCCTGTTGCTACCTTGTCTTGCAGGTTCGAATGTCGATGAGCAGGAGAAGTACGTGGATTTAGGCATGAGCACATCTTGTACTCTAGACTTGGTCGCCTCGGAAGTCCTCTCCAAGACCAGCGATATACCGTGACCGTCAACATCCAAAGGAAGAGCCTGTATGATAGCCTTATCGAATTTTGGCGAGAGCCTAGTAAGTCGCATCAGCGGAGTTGAGGCAAGGCTTGAGGCTAGTTTGCACGAGGCCCGGTAAGACCGGCAGATTGTTCGTGGCGTCGAATAGTCCTCGGTGTATGGTAACTTTTTCCAGTCCCAACGAATCACCACTGTATCCTGTTGGTCTTCGTATTTTGCGTTCCTGACTGGGGATACGCAGAAAAGATTATCCTCGCCATTCATCAGAACAGACGCGAGAGAGTCTGAAGGTAATCCAAACGGGAGGTTGTCTAAGAACGATACCGCATTACGGTGCAGCACTTTCCGGTTTATATCTACGCATAGTACTTCAATTGAGCCACGATAGGAGCCTTGAAAGTAGATGCACACGAGCTTGTCATCGTGAGGGGTGAACCGAATGTTGACGAAGTCCTGCATTTCGCTTGCGATGGTCTCGGTGACAGCTGCCGCCCAAAGCACGGAGAACAGTTTTAGGTTCTTCTTTGTTTCCAATACCCAAACGTTAAGCACTCCAAATCCGTCTTCAAAATCAGCGAAGTAGACGGAGTTAGGAGAGAAAACGCTGTAGGCCACACTGCTTCCATGCGGGATTTCAAGTCGACGTTTATGAGGGTCGACCTGGTAGATGACTGTGGTATGGTTCCTCGCTTGTTGTGCCCAAAGGTCTCCCCTCTCCGAGAAGGCGATTACGGATGGCAGGTGGTCGTTTACATAAACAGCCTGCGCGCCATTTTGGGATGGAATGAATATTGTCAAAGATGGGTCAATCAAGTCAAGACGGGTATCGGAGAGGATCTTGGGCAAAAACTCGGTGCTCTCGACTGTCAACACCGAATGCAAGAGAATCCTTCCTAATCTGACAAGATGTGGCATATAGAAGACATCACCGATTTTCATGACCGAACCCCCCGAGAGGTGCTGAGGCTTAGATCGAGAAGGAGGCCAGGATTGGGTGTATCCGGTGAGAGATCCGTAAAGGGTGAAACGGTAACTTTGGCGGAGAGGGAAGAAGCGTAGCTGGTAGATGCTTGTAGATGAATCATCAGGGAAGTTTCTGAGACGTATGAGGTATCTTTCATCAGAGCTGATTACAAACCAGTCGCTTGGAGTGCTGGTTTTGTCCAAAATAATACGTCCGTCTACGGTATCCCACACCATAGCTCTACCGGCATAGCACGCTAGAATCCAGGTGTTCAAGCACGAAAACGACAACATCAAATGAGGATTGTCAGAAAGTTCCGCGTTTGTGAGGGGTATGCGAGTAAGAAGATCCGTCTCTGATCCAGACGGACGATCATGCCGCTGCATAACAGTAAGCGAATGATCTTGCTTACTGAGCCATGCAAGGCGACGTCCATCCGAAGAGATAGCAAATGCATTGGCACACGAGACCTGTATTGGGATGACAACACGCCTTGAAAGAATCCAGAGCTGAACACAGCTGTACATAGGATCTTCGGTTGCTTGAGTTGGCTTTGATGACCCGTAGTACACTAGGCAGGAGGAGTCGCGCGAGAATAGGCAATGAGAGGTACCTTGATACGGTACCTGTTGGGAGCCAACTATGACATTGGTGGTGATGTCCCACGCTTCGATGCATTTCCCCATTTCAGCTTGATCACTGGGTGCCTCAACCGCGGCAAAGCGACCGTTATGAGATACGCAGACCAATCTCTTGTCATTGAAGTCAATCGTCCGAAGTACAGCGCTCCAATGTTGACCCAAGCCCTCTTCGGCGATCAAGTTTGCCCTGTCAAGGTCTTCCCTATAAATATCCCGGAGCTTAGTGTTCAATGGACACAGCGAGAGTGCAGTATGATAAACGTGTAATGCTGATTGCTGAATCGGCTCATAGAACTCGAGAACGAGTCTATACGCGTCATGAAGGAGAGAAGTGACTGAGTCTTTTTCAGAAGCCGAATACCAGCTCTGTAGGAAATTCGAAGTGAGGAGGGTTACGAAAGCTTATTACCATTCAACTTACGTTAACAATGCTGACAACTTTAGGGAGAGAGATGCATACAGGCAGCGCTTCAATTAAAGAGGCAGCTTCAATCCAGTAAATGAGATGGCTGTGCAAAAACTGCAAGAGCTGGTGCCGTAGCTCAGGATCTGGTGATGCTTCGCATACATGGCCAATCCAATGAGTTACTGCATAAGCAATTGCAGGGGTTATAGTCGCGTCGCGCCTGTTGGAAAACTCTGGGATGTCAGAATGTAATAGCGCTGGATCGTCAATTCCGCAGATATCTTTGGTCAGTGTTTGCATCATAATGCATATGCAACTAGAGGCTATACGGCAATGGGAGATGGGGGGATGGACATAGAAGTCTTTTGAGCGAGTAGAATCCCAGAAAAAGTCACGAAGCGAAGTGTGATATGTGGCAACTGGCTCTTTCGAGCCAATAGGAGGGATCCAAACAACGGCTGCTGCGGAGTCAAGAATTGGGCGAACATCATATCCTGAAAGCCTTGAGATGTCGGTGACGGATAATGGCTGGGAAAGCGACAAAATGGTTCTGATAAGGGACGCAGCTCTATCCGCGTGCTCTGAAGAGGCGATAACATGGCGATACAGCTCATCGATGTCCCTTAGGCTTCTTATTTGCAAGAGGGCACGGAGAAATGATGGAAGCATTGGTCCAGGTTTCCGGTTCAGCAGCCTCATAACTGTTGCTGCAACGATGAAACGTCGGGAAACTGTCTCCGCTAGAAGCTGGAACTCTTGCTCCGGTGGCCACGGGTGCGGAAGAAACTGCGAATGCAAGCATCTAAGTTGATGAAAGGAAGAATCAAGGAATCGCACAATATCTTCCTTAGCATCAAAGTCGCCTATGTCGAAGGGCAGCAACGATCGCATGTCGTTCATCACGTTCTGAATGTTCTGGTAGGGTCGGCTAGTCACTACGATATGAAAAAAAGTAGCGCATTTTCGGTCGCTCTCTTCCTCCAGGAGTGCCCGATCGATGAATTCTACGACCTGAGCGAGAGGGCTCTGATCAGAGTCCTCGCATTCGTCTAGGGCATCGAGGATCATGGTCATCAGCTTGCCCGTCTCGTGCCAGTAACGTCTCAGGAACTTCAAAGGATTAAGGACAAGGTGAACAAACTGATCGTAGCGCGATCTTTCATTCTTCAATAAGGTAGGATCGTTGATGATAGCTCGAACGACCATATCTTGAGCGCGAGGATGCAGGAGACCGAGCTGGTAGGATAGGGTGGGTAGGAGGCGGTCGGCATTACTACGGATGGGGTGCCTACGCGAGAAGAAGAAGGTGGCAGCCAGCGCGTCCTTCTGGCGGAGCTGCTGTGCTAGCGTGTGGGCGACGGCGGACTTGCCTGACCCGGATTCGCCCTTCAACCAGATGATCTTGCCGCGTTCTTCGTGAATGGCCGTGCGCAGCGTTTCGATGAGATCAACGCGAGTGCCGGGGAGGCATTGGGAAAACGGCTGTCGTTCAGGGGAGTCAAAGGTGGCGGCGTGAACGCACGCTTCACCCAGCTCTTTCCAGGCGGCTTCCTTTGCAGCCGAGCTGGACATACTCGAAGAAGATAGCTCTACGATAACACCACCGTCAGTGGTAGAATCAATACGAGAATCGACCGTCTCACCTGGGTGTGAACTGGGAGATGAGGGGTAGCAGTTGAAGATGACCGTACAGCAAACTCGGCTCTTGACAAGGAAGGCAGGAGGCAGGAAGCAGAAACGTTGCGCATACGGATTTGGCACAAAGTCATCGAGCGCCGGTACCACAGCATCTCGCGTGCCCTGCACCCACCTTATTGGATGGTTTGACTAAAATAGAGAAAGGCTGATCGTGCCATCTGTCCATCATAATGATGATGTTTGAAACGTTCTTGCACAGTCAACGGAAGCCCGTATGCTGTATCACACCGTCGGTAATTCGAGCGACCATGGACATGAACTCGCGCTGTAGCGCTGCATGTATAAATGCACATCGGTGAGACATCATAGACACTGTTATAACATCTTATTCTTAGTCCTTAAAGGCACAAGGAAGACAAGGCAACTATCACCAGGCGAATTGTCTAGTGAACGCCGGTAACTTGGCAAAGCCGAGAACCAATTCACTCGGGCGGTGATCTGAAGCCCGGAGGTGAAATTTCAAGGATTCATGAGCATAGCCATGTACCCAACGGGCCTTCGTGATGCCCACAGAGGCCTGGCTGGCCTGGTATCAGGAGGCGGCGATGCTGCAGGCTGTGACTGGGGACGAAGGACGAGGCGGGGAAGCGGAACGTTGGTGGGCTTAGGGTGGGTGGCTATGTGACGTCCCAATAATAGGTTTGGCGCGGCGGTGGCTGTTACCACGCTATATAGCCCTCCCCACTCAACAATCGTTCCGCTCCCCTTCCTCAACGTTTCCTCCACCCCTCTACACTCTACTTCCTTTGTTTCCTACATCTAACATCGTCTCATTCGTCGACGCGCCAGCTTTGAACGACACTTATCCTCTCTCGTTGATTCACCACACCTAGACGTCGGAACTCCACCCACCACAGTCTCAAACATGTCCTCCGGCCAACAGTCCTACTCTGCTCCCCTCGAGCTCGCTTTCCCTGAGGACCTCATCTCCCCAGAGGTCCTCAAGGCTCTCCCGTCTGAGCTTACTGTGCGTCTCCTTCTACAATTTCCACTTATCATTATCAGGGACACCAACATTATCCACAGATGCGCCCGCTCGCCTCGGACGACTACAAGCGCGGCCACCTCGACGTCCTCTCCGTCCTCACCGTCGTCAACGACCCAGGTGCCGCTGCCTGGACGTCCCAGTTCCACGCGATGCGTGCCATGCCGCGGACGTACTTCTCGCTCGTAATCGTCGACAAGAAGTCCGACCGCATCGTCGGCGTCGGCTCGCTCTTCGTCGAGCGCAAGTTCCTCCGCGGGCTCGGCAGCGTCGGTCACATTGAGGACATCGCCGTCGACAAGAGCCAGCAGGGCAAGAAGCTCGGCCAGCGCATTATCCAGGCGCTCACGTACATCAGCGAGAACAGCGGGTGCTACAAGACGATTCTGAACTGCAGCGATTCCAACGTCCGTGAGTACAGTTTCCGTTTCCGTTCTTTCCCTTCGGGTTTGAAGTCTCACGCTGACTGGTTTCTGTGACGACAGCGTTCTACGAGAAGTGCGGCTTCGCGCGCAAGGAGAACGAGATGGCCAAGTACGCGCCCGAGCGGTCTCACTCCCCTCGCCTTTGAATCGAAGGGTTCGTCTGTTCGTTTCGCCAATTACTAGAAGGTTCTCTATCATCCACTTTAATATCACATTGGACTTCACTATAAACACAGCAACACGATACCTATCTTAAGCGCCTGTACATAGTTGACTAGCCGTCGGACTTTCACTTTGCATAGTACCTTCCTGTATCCTCAATTTCCATGACTCGCCCGCGTTGGGTGTTCTCGTTCCGCTGCTGCCGGCGCTATGTGTGTTCGGTACTTGTCGAGTGAAGGTTGACTTGGGTGATAAGACGAGTCGAGGTGAGGTGAGATGAACGTGTAGACATGCCTGGCTAATTGCATGGTATTGATCCCTCCATATTGATATTCATTGACGTTCACCGCCTTGTGGAGGGGCTGGCTACTACAAGATTGCGCACGCCTGTTCTGGTGCTCAATGGGAATCGTACTCTGGATCTGAAACAGTAAACATCAGTGTCGGCGGCGACATGTGAGAATATGATGAGGCTTCGAGCATTCAATCTAAGGACGAATGAATGGCACCATGAACGAACATGTCAGGGGCTGCTCCAAACTGCTAGTTTGGGAACTTCCTTCACTAGAAAAATATTCCAATACAATTTGCCAATTTAGTTAAAATACCATGGCCAAGTAGTTTAAATAATCTTTGCATACCTGTCCGAAAATTATCCGATCCAGGCACCGAGTTTTATTTAAAAGAAAGTTTGTGAAAGTATGCTGATGATTCTGTGACGGGTGACAGCAGATATTTAAAATACAATCTGGTATAGCAGCCGAGTCATGAACCGGACTGGGCTGTCAAAGGTGGCTCAGTATCTGAGCCGATTGCGGATTTTTGACAGCCCAGAAAGGCTATTAGCCAATAAAAATATGAGAAAAGAAAAATCAAACAATTTTCATTAGGCAGCAAACCATTAATCAAACGCCTGTCAAACGCCTGTCAAACGCCCGGCAAACGCCA